TACCTCAGACAACAATGGGTCTTTACTGTACTCTACGATAACCAGCCCCTTTTGTTATAGTAAATGTATGCTTGACCACTTGTTACTAATACCGGTACTAGTAAAGGACCAAGCCCCAAGCAACTAGTATAGTATTGAGGCACCCATTTTTTGGTTGCTTCATACAGATATAGTTACAGGTTTTACCCCTGGTTAACACAATAACCAGCTCCACCAGGGGCAAAAGGCATAAAGAAGCCCTAAGTTGATGATAGCAGGCCTTTGGTGAGCTATTCCCTGCTTATATGTGGGAAATACCCCTGCTAGCATCCCCAGGACCCTTATCCCAGATACTAGAAGCAGCATGGCCTCACAAACTCCAAAATCCACTCAGAATGACCCCTCCGGCGGTAAAAATACTGAAGGCTATTCTACTGATCACCCTCAGACTCAACAACACCGCTCATCAAGAGCTTCATCTCTTGTCATTGCACCAAACATGGTGGCACCATCATTGGACTCGCAGGTGAGATTAAAACGGCCGGCTCCTCACAAACGTCCTGCAGAGGCAGAACCTTCATCCAATTCCAAATCGGCTGTTGAGATTCAGTCTTGTTCTGAAGACGACAGGGAAAAAAGAATTGTTGTTTCCATCTTTGTTATCACTCATGGGTCCATTTTCCCAGTTACGGAAAAAAAATTCCCATATCTCAGTTATCGTAACAAAAGCAAATAAAACAAAAGCCACAAACTGGGATATCGTAAAGAAAAATCCAATACGGATTGTGGTAAAACCCGTAGGGTTATTGAGTCAAAAAAATACTGTAGCGGTACAATACCGATATCTGTAAAGTAAAGACCCATCGTTGCCTCAGAACATGAATTTCCAGAAGATTTGGAAAAATTTCCCAACAGGACCTTACCAATAGAGGACAACATTCCAGAAAACCTTGGGAAAACAGAAGATGAAGATAAACAGGATTCACCTACCTACCACCTTGAGAATTTTGAAGTCACCTTTGTTGGACTTGACCACCATACCTTTCTGGATACTGGCTCCAATCTTGGGGGAAGAAATTTGATCATGGACTTATCAGAAACAGACAGTGATAGAAAAGCAATTCAAAAATCATCAGTTTGTTGGAGGACCAAAAATCAGTCCTATTCTATTTTATTGCCCTTCACCAACCATCAGAAATGGACAGCTACCTTACCTTCCAACATAGCCACCAAGGATTCCTTACATCAGGCCCAGTTTTCCAGCACCTCTCAATTCTTTCTGTCTTCCCAGCTGATGGGGACATCGGCCAAGTTGGGGGAGGGACTCACCACCAAATCCCTGGAATTAAAATTTTTTTATCCTTGGAGATCATTTTTTGTATTGCTTTCCAGCCAAGATCATGTCACTGGGACATTTCTACCTTTCCTTCATCCACTTCGCGGCGGCCATGTTTGGCAGAATAGGACAGATCAGTTCGCTCAAGGATACAACATTGTCCAATCAGATCCCCTCCACAACTCAGATGCAGCAAAGACACAGAATCTAGCCTTGGTATTGGAGGGGACAGTTAGTGAAAACCTGCAACTTCCGATTGAGAAGAATATCGATATCTCAGTTCTTATCATTATCAAGATGGAGGCCATTGAGGCAGGGAGGGCAGCTTACCACATTCTTGATTGCAACTTCAAGGTAAATCAGTTCGCGCCGGGACAACAGACGTTGCCTTGTTCCCTGTCAATCAGCAGTCTCCGAGTTCAACAGGATTCCAGTTACAAAATCGGCATTGGATGCTTCAAGTCTAGAGGGTCTATAGAAGAATCGGCGATTGTGATGGGCGCCGACGTTATTCAACAAGACACGATTGACAAGACCGATACCACATGCAATAGGACTGTTGGTTGGAGCATCGAAACCTTTCTCCTTCCAGCTAGCGACTTCGAGTTCCAACTATGTTCGGATTCAAGTTTTGTTGTGTACATCAATACGGTTTGGGATGACCTGGATTGGATTAGAAGACCAGCCAGCACGTTATGGAGTAGGATTCGATGTGTCAATTCAGGGATAGGGATCGAAAGGAGTATATTGAGCAGAGAAAGAATCGTGTACCTCTTAAGAAGACAGCGATGGAATTGCTTTGATCCCATTGCCAAACTTTCTATCACAGCCTTCAGCTACATATTAAATCGGTCAATTCAGGGTTGCGATCATTTCATTTTATTCTTCATTACTTTTCTTTCCCTGCATTCCTTTTTATCTCGGAAGGCTTGGGAAGCTGTGATCCTCAGGTTTGGCCAAGCAACTACCAAAACGCGAAGGCGGTTCAACAGATCCTTGGCCGATGACAACATCCATCATCACCGATCGGTTATCTTATCATACTTATTGGACAGCATCCATTGGATTGCGAACCTGTCCTGGGCTAGTGTGGGTTATCTTCTCTGCAGTGTAATTGCAAGGCTCCGCGCAAATTCTGCCCTGTCAGTAGGAATCAGTAGGAATCCCAGCTCTTCATCAAGGAAAGCTCAGATGCATTTTGCTCAGACTTCCATTACATCACCTCTCAAGAATTCAAAGGATACATTGCCATTTTGGGAATGGAGAGGAGGTCCTTTCCACATGATTCCAGGACAGTCCAATCACCTGAACATTTAACTTTTTTTCTTTAATGGATCAACCCTTTTGGAATAAAGAGGACTGCATCAATTTCCCTGCTTCATTTTTGAGAACCCACATCAAATCCCTCACTGATGGACCTCATCATGATCCCATCATGAATTCACCAACCCTCTTTTTTTTATCATCAAGGAATTAATCATGAACAACCCTCATTTTTTTTCATTTTCTCATTAAGTAATCAGTTTATCCTCATCAAGAATCTTGGAATGAATCATCCATCCCATTATGGATTCATCAACCCTCATTTTTTTCATTTTCTCATCAAGTAATTAGTTCATCCTCATCAAGACTCTTGCAAAAAAAATCATCCATCAACCACTTTGACCTCCATCAGAAAATTCAAGGGACCTCTAGCAACCCCCCACTCACTCATTCATCCTCATCAGGATTTTCTGAATCCCTTCCTCATCATTTACTCATTTCATCAGCAATCATTCACCAAGAATCCAGCATCCATCAATCATTCCTTCCATCCAACATCATAAACCACTTCAACATCCTTCATCCATCAAATTATTCTTTCATCCACCATGTAGATTACTCTTACATTTTCAATCATCAACCTTCACTTGCAATGAACACCACCTTTCCTCAATCAATTTTCCTTCCATCCAACATCATTAACTATCTCAACATCCATCATTCAACAATCCAACATCATCAGCCATTCCAACATCCTTTCATCCATCATTATTCTTTCCATCCACCATTAAATATTCATCCACCACTTTTCCAGCATCAACCATCATCCTGAATTCTTATTCTTCCATCACCATCATAATCAGCCAGTATCATCCCCTCATCATTTTTCCATGAATCCATCAATCTCCTATCATCCATCATAAATTCTTTTCTTTGGATCCAGCTTCACTCCTTCATCAGCTTTCTGGATAAAAATCTTGTCTTCCTTGGTTCATCTTTCCTCCCACTGCTTGGAGTTCATCAAATCTTTCCAGCCATATTTTTCCAGCACTATAATCCAGCCACTTTATTTTTCACTGTCCATCCCCTGAGTAGTATCCAACTAGTACCTTCCACATCATTTATCAGTACATTTATCTGATTTACATTAGTGCACATCCATAATCATCCATCAGCCTTCATAATTAGAAACACAGTAACATCTAAAATTCCAGATATAATTACATCATCATTTCCCAGGTTTACAATTTCCAGTTATAACATACTAAAACTTTTATCAGTAAGCTTTTATTATTTTCTATACTAAAGGACACCAGAACATCATAATTAGCTTTTTACAGGCCCAGTTGGCTTTTGTAATAGTTATTTTTTAGGGTTAGTTTTACAAGCTGAGACAGCTTTGTATTAGACCATTTGCCAGTATTATCCCTTAGTTAGAAAATCTTATCAGCAGAATTTAAAATAGTAGTAGTTATGGTTGAGTTTTGTACACTCAAGATTTATTTTATAATCATCATCAGGTCTTTGGGATCAAGACTTCATCTTCTTTTGGACTCCTTTGGATTGGACTACTTGGATTGGACTTCTTTGGATTGGACCACTTGGACTGGATCTTTTCAGGAATGGACTTCTTTGGAATACTATCTTTGGATTGGACTTCTTTTGGACCACTTGGACTGGATCTTTTCAGGAATGGACTTCTTTGGAATACTATCTTTGGATTGGATCTTCTTTGGACCTGGACTTTTGGACACAGGATTGACTTACAGGGTCACTGGACTCTGAGGACCTTTACTATGGATCACTGGACAACTTCCATGGATTTTTCTTTCTTTCTTTTCTTTTTCTTTCTTACTCTCCATTTCACTCTTTTCCTTTTATTTTATTTTTCTTTCTTTCCTTCAGTTGTCTGGGGGTCAGACAATAAGTTGGGGGAGGATGTGGTATGTCCATACCTTTCCATGTATCCTCATTTTTCACATCATTTTATATATATTCTTTCCAGTATTGTTTCATATTCAGATTCTACACATCATTTCACCCCTAGTCGCCTCTTACAGCTTTTCAGTAGCTCTTATAGTTCTCTAGTTATCATCTCTTCAGTATATTCATAGTTACAGAACAGTACATTACTTTGTACATACAGTACATATACATTACTCATTATTTAGTTACAGTATCTATGTGGCATCACTCTTTCATCATAGTACATCATCTTATCTGCACTACATCATATACATATTTCTCTTCACACAGCTTTGACTTTCCATCTATGATTAGCATTTGTATACACAGAACATCTATCTCTAGGTTACATTATTTCTCATCCCTCATTACTGTTTAAGATTTACATTACCCATAGCCAGGATTTCCCCAGCCATGGTGCTTTGCTGTTGTATGTACAGTATCCTCCCAGATGTTTATGTCTGGGGGTAAACCTGTCACAGGTCCGGCACTTGAGCCCGCGCAGCACTACATCCAGAAGGGCGGTCGACTGAAGAGCCAACTGAGCCAAACATCAGCATCGGCCAACACCTACCCCTCACCGGCTCGTGTTACTCACCGGTCAACATCCATCCCGACTCCGGTCAACATCCATCCCGACTGCCGTCAACCCCGTCCAAGCTTGACGACCGACTCCTCCACCGTTTTTTTGGGAGGCATTGAATCTACTGGTAGCCTCGCCGAAACCTTGCCCAGACAGGCCTACCTTGTATCGTACGTCACCATCTCACTCTTCTCCCTCCTTGTTCGCTCCCACTGACCTGTCTTGTATGACCTGAACAGTTTGTTTCAAGATACCAACTTGGCCGCCATTCACGCCAAGCATGTGACAATCCAGCCCAAGGATATCCAACTTGCTCGTCGCCTCCGAGGTGAACGATCATAAATTATCGTTGTCGTTTGTTTGGCCAACCAACCGGGGATTGACAAACGACTCCTCCGACTTTTTTCAGGAGGCACTGAATCTTCTGGTAGCCGCACGCCGCGCTGTCAACCTCGTCCGAGCTTGAGGACCGACTCCTCCGCCGTTTTTTCGGGGGGCTTTGAATCAAGCAGTAGCCGCACCGAAACCTCGCCCAGACGCACGCCGCGCCGTCAACCTCGTCCGAGCTTGACGACCGACTCCTCCGCCGTTTCCGCGCCAAAACCTTCCCAGCTGGTCTGGTGGGCCAAGTGAATATTAATTTTTAATATGGGCCTTAATAAAAAAACGCGGTTTTTCCGCGTTTTGACGCGGTTTTAACGCGCCGCAGCACACGCGGTTTCCGCGTTTAGACGCGGTTTTATTAATTAATTTTTTACCGCTTATTTTTCGAGTTTTTTTGAATTTTTAAAATTGTTTCCTATGTTTTAAAGCGTGTAGAATTTAATGGTAAAAACCATTTTTCATAAAAATGAGTTTTGATTATTAATTTTTTTTTTCCACTTATTTTTCAATTAAATGTTTACATACATGTTTCTACCTCATTTTTTTATGCTTTTTTGAAATTTTAAATTTATTTCCTAGGTTTCAATGTGTGTAGAATTTAATGGTGTAATCCAAATTTTTCAAAACTCAATGGTTCATTTTTAATACTGAAATTAGACACATTTTTTCACTTAAATTTCTACAGGTTAATTTTCATTCTTTTTTGACATTTTAAATTTTTTTCCTACACTTTAAGACATGGTTAAAATGATGGTAAAGCTCATTTTGGATCAAAATGAAAACTATATCTTGAATACTGCATTTGACATGTTTTTTTTATTTAATTCTCCACTTTTTCACTTGATTGTTTGCATTAATTTTTTTACCTTACTTTTTATGCTTTTTTGAAATTTTAAATTTGTTTCCTACATTTAAAAGTGTTTAGAATTTAATGGTAACATTCCATTCCCGTAAAACTCAACAGTTCATACTGAATACTGTAATCAGCCTCAAAATTCAATTAATTCTTAAGAGCTTAATTTTCATTATTTTTTGACATTTTTAATTTGTTTCCTACACTTTCAGACATGTATAGAATTATGGTAACAATGAATTTGCATCAAAGTGAAAACTATATCTTAAATACTGCATTTGATGTGTTTATTTAATTAATTCTTACACACTTAATTATCCTTATTTTATGGAATTTCAAGTTCATTTCCTACACTTTGAAAGGTTTTGGATTTGATGGCTGTATTCATTTTGCATTCAAATAAAATCTGTATACAGTAAAAATTACGCAAGAAACGGGGTACACTCATGTATTATGATTGAAGCTTTTATTTTCAGGCAAATTGGAATTCACCATTAAGTTCTACACATTTCTGAATGTAGGAAATAAATTTAAAATTTCAAAAAATGATCAAAATTAAGCTGGTAAAAATCAATTTAAAAAACATGAAAAAAAACCTGTCCAACACAGTATTCAATAACAACCTTTTATTTTTATGTAAAATGGTTGTTACCATCATTTTATACATGTCTTGAAGTGTAGGAAAAAAATTCAAAATGTCAAAAAAGAATCAAAATTAACCTGTAGAAATTTAAGTGAAAAAATGTGTCTAATTTCAGTATTAAAAATGAACCATTGAGTTTTGAAAAATTTGGATTACACCATTAAATTCTACACACATTGAAACCTAGGAAATAAATTTAAAATTTCAAAAAAGCATAAAAAAATGAGGTAGAAACATGTATGTAAACATTTAATTGAAAAATAAGTGGAAAAAAAAATTAATAATCAAAACTCATTTTTATGAAAAATGGTTTTTACCATTAAATTCTGCACGCTTTAAAACATAGGAAACAATTTTAAAAATTCAAAAAAACTCGAAAAATAAGCGGTAAAAAATTAATTAAAAAACCGCGTCTAAAAGCGGAAACCGCGTGTGCTGCGGCGCGTTAAAACCGCGTCAAAACGCGGAAAACCCGCGTTTTTTTATTAAGGCCCTTTAATATTGAATTTTTCATTTTTTTAATTTTTTTTTTTTTGATAATCATTATCTCCTGCATCTCAGCTAAACTCCCCTTGTTTTGTTTTATTTTTAAAAAAATTATTAAAGAAAAAAAAATAATTGAATTTTGCTTTTATTTTTTTAAAATGTCAAGCAATGACTTTTCCTATTCTGTTGTTTCATACTCTTTTTTATCATCTCCCTATCTACCACTCCCCAAAAAATGGGAAATAAAGAATGAGTATATATTTTTTTAAATTAAGTAATCCAACTGCCATAAACATCTGGGAGGAGACTGTACATGTTGTACACATATATACTCTTCCTTCCTCCTCATGTATTTTTCCCTTATGTGATTTCCATGCATGCTTTATGTTAGTCTATCCATAGTTTTAGTACTAGAAATTATCATCACCCTTATATCTTTACCAGATATCATTGCCAGTTATATTTGCCAGTTATACATCACCCCTTGCCAGTTATAAATCCTCAGTTGCCAGATTATCATCATTTGCCAGTGTCATTCCTCATTTGCCAGTGTTACACCCTTGCCAGTATTATCCCCTCACACCTCATTCCTCCTCCTCCTCCTCACACCTCAGTAGGTACTACATACACAAGCTCATCAGTAATAGTAGTCTAAGATAAAGTAGAAATCAGCCACACCTCTATTCTTCTTTTTCTTAGTGTTACACTCTTCCCATCAGCATTGTACAGGAGGGCAGCCTCATCAGCACCTGTAGTAACAACTTACATTAGCACTAGTGTAGTTGTCTATATCCCCTCCAAGCTCTATCTCCCTGGTTGAGTAGTTCCACAACGGTGCTGATGGGAAAGAGACCCTTGTCGTGGCAAGGTGGGTAGAACTTAAATAGCCTGGGGTCATCGGTGAACATGCCCTCAAGATCAAACCATCCCCCTCATGTAGCCGAAAGCACAAGGGTTGTGTTTCTGGTGGCGGGTAGGCCTGCTCCACTGCAACCTTCAGCAGTCCACAGTGAAGGGAAACTTTTGAATTTTCAATTGCCATTTTCATGCCTTTAATGAACTGTGATTTATCATTCTTCCTTTTTTTAGCCTGCACAAATAAATTAATGTTTTTTTGCTTGTTTTCTTACTATTTTCAGTTATAATGTTACTAATTAGAAAACAAAATGGTGCCTGGGCACGCCGCCCCTGTGCCAGCCGAAGGCGCACCCCTTTGGAATGCTTGGTAGGCACCCATGGGCGCGCACTTTTTCAAACATGGCACCAACAACCCTACTCCCAACAAACTGTCAGCGGATGTCTGTTGGGAGTCATCTTCTAAAGTATGGGCGGATTCTGGGAGTTGTCTGCCCAATTTCAATTTCATTTTTTTTGGGAGTCGACTCCCCAAACTACCCCTCATGTATGAGGGGGTTTGGGAGTTGCTCCCACTTGACCGGAAGGGGTTGAAGCTGAACCTCATCCCCTTCCGGTCAATGAGGTTTAGCTTCCTCATTGACCGGAGGAGAGTCCTTTCGGTCGATGAAGCCCTTGCTGTGAACCCCCCAACCTCATCGACTGGAAGGGATCCCTTCATGTCGATGAGGTATAGCTTCCTCATCAATTGGAAGGGATTCCTTCCAGTTGATGAGGAGGCTAAACCTCATCAACCGGAAGGGATTCCTTCCAGTTGATGAGTTCAATCTTCCTCATTGACCGGAAGGGATCCCTTCCGGTTGATGAGGGACAATCCCTTCCAGTCAATGAGATTTACCTTCCTCACTGACTGGAAGGGGTTCCTTCCGGTCAAGTGGGAGTGACCCCCAAACCCCCTGATACATGAGGGGTGGCTTGGCGAGCCGACTCCCAAAAAAAAAAAAAATTGAAATTGGGCAGACAACTCTCAAATTCCACTCCCAATGGACGTCCGCTGACGGTTGTTGGGAGTCGTTGGCAAAAAAACGGGAGTTGTTTTTCCGAGTCCCAAAACTTAAGAGAAGGTGATGACAGCAATGGTGGGCCAGCTACACCAACACTACACAAAAATACCACTGTTAGTGCTGCTACAAAGTAGTGCAGTGCAACAGTGTGGCAGTTATTCCTGTGTTTCTATGCAGAAAATATAAAAAAATATTATTATCTCTCTATACGTTATGTATATGATATAATAACAGCAGAAATGGATTTCTCAGGTAAAATACCCCCTATTCATCCACTAATAACCTGCCTCACATACCATTACTGGTTGAAGCATAGCAGCTCTGCGCCTTGGTTTCAGAGCTTTGAACAACAGCTTCATCAATATAATCATCACTCATTAACAACTTCAGACCCTTAAAATTATCACTTGGAAGCTTCATCTTGAACTTTCATTGATCATAATAAATAAAACTGCCAAGCTCAGCTTGGTGGTCTTGTTGTTCTGATAGCATAGAAGGGCAGAGCTTGCAACTCCACCATCCCCTTCTCGATTCAGCAATAAGTTTTCACAACCAATTTTGAGTCTTACAGCAGTGGTAGTGGTGCGCTAACACTACACAAAAAAGGGCCACTGTTAGTGCTGCTATGCTAAGGCTAAGTGACCCTGTGGTGTAGTTTAGCATAGCAGCCCACCACTGATAGTAAGATCAAAAGAAGTTGATAGATGACAAGGTTTTTGGACAAAAAATGATGAATTAAAGAAAAGCAGTGACTTGAGGATTTATCTTTGATTTTGATGTTGTTTTATTTCTATTTTTAGGGGATTAATAAGTGAAATCCCAATTTCTAAAGTCTCTGGCATCAAAAATGTAACTGATGCAATGCATTGTATTGGGCCTGTATCACATTGTATTGCGAGAGAGATGCAGGGGCCCCGTATTGCATCGCTTGCATCAGATTCTTTGATACAGTGCATCAGTATTGCATTGGCAAAGCAATGCGATGTGATGCACTGTAATTTGGTGGCATTGGTTTGCATTGCTTTCTGATACAATGCCAATGCAATGCATTGCTTTCTGATACAATGCCAATGCAATGCGATACCAATACATGGCTATTTATTACATCACGTTGCATCGTTTCACCGTTGCTGGCATGAAAGTCCTCATAAATTGGCTGTATACCAGTTTCTTTTTTAACTGATGGTGCAAAATGCAAAAGATTTTGTTGGCCGGTGATTTTGAATCTGATGGGGTGATGCTGGTAGTTGCTCATCGTCTTAGGAAGTGAAACATGCGGATGCCATTTGTACCAGGTATTTCTTCTGAGGGTACAACTGGCTGTGAAGAGGGTGCTTGAGAGGTTCCAACTGGTTGTGAAGAGGATGCTTCAGGGAATGGTTTTCCATGTTGTGAAATCAGTTTTCTGTTCTCATGCCCACATCCCTCCTGATTGTCAGAAGGACACTGTTTGTTTTTGACCATCATTGCATTGCATGGACTACATCTGTAGTACTTCTTTGTACGTTGTATATTACAGATATCCCTGTTTGGCAATTGTGCTCCACAGTCACCCACTTCATCCACCATTCCTCTCTTCCAGACAAGACGGGCTTCGTTTCCACAGAGGAGGCAAGGGATATTGCCACCAAGAGCCAGATAAGCTGAGGTAAAGGCCACCAGTATGCCAAATATGATTTTACGGGAGGTCATTGATTGGATATCTTGTTGAGTTTTTGTTGAAAATGAGGATGGTTCAGTGGGAATTGAACTGGTGTCACAAGGTGTGTTTTTGAGAAGAACTTGAGCAAAGGATGGTCCAACTGTTATGGCTATAGGAGGTGGTACAGATACCACTCATAGGCTTTAGTTATATCAGCAGACCATTTGGGGCCATCATATGAATGAACAACCAGCCAACTAAACAGCACCTGAAGGTCAAGCAAACAACTACAAGGATTGAATAGTGACTGTTCCTTGGAAAGAGGGAAATACATAGGTACCAGCCCTAACTGGGCAGAAACTAAACTTGGCTGACTCATCTGAAGCAGCTCAAGAATTCATTGTTGACCCTATTTTTGCAGGTCCTATTATTTCTAGGGGGTTGGAAAAACGACTCCCAAAAATTAGTCGACGACTCCCGTTTTGGTCGAGGGGTCGTCGGCTGGGAGTCGTTCTTCCAAAAGATGGCCGACTTTGGGAGTCGGCCATCAAATGTTTTTTTTTATTTTTTTAATTTATTTTTGGGGAGTCGGCGCCCCAAACCGCCCCTCATGCTTAAGGGGGTTTGGGAGTCGTCGCTCCCCCTCCCATGACCGGAAGGATTTCCTCCTTCCGGTCGACAAGAAAAAAAAGTCTCATCGACCGGAAAGGATTCCTTCCGGTCGATGAGGGTGTTTTAAATCCCTTCCGGCCGATGAGGGTGTTACACCTCATTGGCCGGAAGGGATTCCTTCCGGTCAATGAGGTAAAACAGCCCCCATCGACCGGAAGGAATCCCTTCCGGTCGATGAGGTAAAACACCCTCATCGACCGGAAGGAATCCCTTCCGGTCGATAAGACTTCTTTTTCTTGTCGGTCATGGGAGCGGGAGCGACGACTCCCAAACCCCCTCAAGCATGAGGGGCGGTTTGGGGCGCCGACTCCCCAAAAATAAATTAAAAAAATAAAAAAAACATTTGATGGCCGACTCCCAAAGTCGGCCATCTTTTGGAAGAACGACTCCCAGCCGACGACCCCTCGACCAAAACGGGAGTCGTCGACTAATTTTTGGGAGTCGTTTTTCCAACCCCCTATTTCTAACCTCGTTCGGAGGATCCCGCCTGGCTGGAGCATGGGGTGCTCGGGGAGTACCCGTACCCCGAGATGTAGTGTTTTGTGTGACCGGATTGTCAATGAACAAAAAAAAACCCACCAAAATCAAAAACAACTTTTTCAAGAAAACCAGAAGAATGCAACCAACAGAAGAGTCCGATCAGATCGAGGAACTCGACCAAGAACATCTCCATCAACAGAATAAACCAGCCTATCACAACCAGCTCATCAGGCCCTCCCCAAGACCCAGCAGACGACCATCGGAGGAGTCTTTGCAGAAGCAGGCCAAACTTCATCAATCGCCAACTCCCAATATCCAAACAGTCTCATCGGATAGCGTCGAAGGCTCCAATCGATCACTCCCCGATCACAATCCATCTCCTCCTCCACCCATCATCTCACTCACAAACCAATGGCCGCCAGCACCCTACGGAGATGAAAACTTACCCAAACCAGCACCCAAACGAAAATCATCCTCATCAGCTCTCACTCACAATTGGCCGATCAAACTCCTGGCATCCTCATCCTCCACAAACGATCCAAAACCCTCCAGATTCTCTTTCGACTTCAACAACAGCAGTCACATCAACACCCGCGATAGTCAAAGGATCTTCTCAAATGAAACCGTCAAACAACATCTCATCAGAAGGCAAAAAGAGAAAACAGATGAAGAAGAACAAGAAGAACATCCTCAGAAGATCACCGTCGCGCCGTCGATCACGTTAAGTTTATTTACCCATCTCACCGATCCTACGCTGAGTTGGAAGACCAAATTAGGCTGCTTTGGAGCGACCCTAGGAATCAATTTCTTCCTGCCATTCATCAATGGTGTCATGCTAGGTCGGTCTGCTTCCCCCCGCCTCTGCTCCCTCATTCTCGTGTCAGAAACTGACAAATCAATCCACCATAGGCTTCGGAGAAATCGCCGCGCGAGAGTTGCTTGGAGCGTACTTCGGCTGGGGGCCTGCTGGATATCGGTACCACTCTAAACAACTACCCCAGCCATCAAATCCTTCCGAGGCTTCCGAACATCCTTCCCCCTCAGATCCTTCTTCCACGCTTTCTCAATCTCCTGCTGGCTCTTCTGTCTCTTTCACAGCCCTTCCTTCATCATCATCATCATCATCAACATAGAATAATCAAAACAAATCCTCTTGCCTTACATTTTTTGATTATTATTGATCAAAACACTCTACCCAAGCTTGGATTGTTTTCCTCTTCTTCAACAAAGAATCCATGAATCTTTGGTCATCCTCAGTAACCAGCTCTCAACACTTGCTAAATAAGAGATACCTTCAAGTAGAACTAAACTATCAAGAAACCGAAACAAGCTGTGATATTGACAGCACCAAACTTATGTACAAATGAAGGTGAAGCGTGAGATTCCACAAATATAAATTGACAAAAATCGGACCTGTGTGGGATCTGACAAAAATGGTGATTCTCAATTGTGCATTTGAAAGAGCCCTGGAGGAGATTTATATTGTCTGAGTATGAAAGAAGATACACAAATAGGTACACTCATACACATACATATAATACCATGACAAACATGGGCAACAGGAGAACAATCAACTGAACCCAGAGGTGAGCACAACCACCAACATATGTCCTATATTTGAGAGGGGGGGGGGGCAGGTTACAGATGACCCAAGTTGCAGAGCTTGAAATATATCCACACAGGAAAGTTCTACTCTAGGGTCCTGAAGTCCCAACTCTGCATCTCCAGATTCCATTTTTTTTTCTTGGATGATCAAGTTCTGATGATTGGCATGTCTTGTGCACTGGCAATGGATTATCTCCAAAGATTGTTACTTGTTTACATACTTCAGGATGGGGAGGGGGAGCAAGGATTGATGCTCTGTGAAAGGCTGAAGCAAAGGCAACAATGTCTGCAATCTGTGTTTGTGTATTTATCACTATGGACAAATTTGATTGAGAAGAAGATCAAGACTGTATATAAGCAATCTTTCAGAAGCATCTTTGTTACATCCTCAACCTGCTCTGTGAGCAATGGCCCCCACATGTGCATCACTTTCAAGGATGATGATGATTGCATGAGAAGGTCCACACAAAGAAGAAGAAAGAAAACACACAGAACTCCATCAACCATCTGCAGAAGAAGATGCATGTGAGTGTTTGTAGTGTACATCTTCATAAGTCCCGCACCAACCATTTCTCTCCACCTCTTCTGTTGACATTTTCTGTTCCTATAGTGTATCCCATCCCTTCCCTTCCTGCTCATGACATGCTTTCTTCCCCTGCTTCTGCCCCCACCCCCACCACACACACATATGTTAATGTAACACCCAAGAAAAACAAAGGAAGCAACGTTGTATGGAGAAGATACACAGTACAACACAAACATATATATATAAACAAAACCAACACATGCACACACACACACATAAAAATACGGATAGATATCAACCATTCAGAGGAGCAGAGTTTCTTCCTTTTGCTTTGTTTGGGTGGAAGGCTTGGGAAAGGAGAAGAAGGAAGGGAGGGATGGTGTGGAGAACAGCAACATGAAGACCCAGAAATTATAAATATAATAAGTAGAGTATGGTGAGGTTTTTTTATGAGAAAAAAAAGAAGTTTGATGTGTATATATACATTTTTGTGCAATGATATAAAAAAATCAATAATAATCATAAATATCAAAAATAAATATATATATATGTATACATACATGTATTCTCATTACAAGAAGAAGGGGAGGAATGAGTCAAGGAAAGTGAAGTAAAAGAAGGATAAGTTATAAGATGAGAAGAGTTTAGCCGCCATCATCAGCAGAATGAATAAAGGAGAACGAATGAATCAGATTAGTATGATGATGATGATGAGGATTAGGGGAAGGAGAAGAAGAAACAAGATTAGATTGACGATGATTTAACCTAGGGAGAGATTGAGAATGAGGAAGCGATTGAGAATATGAGAGCGGATGAGGAGAATGCGGAGGAAGAGGAGGGGAAGGGGAATTGGGAAGAAGAAGAGGGTGGAACGAGGGAGGAGGCGAGAGGAGGGAATGGTCCGAGTCGAGGAGGAGGAGTCGATAGTCATCATCCAGGAAGGAGAGTGTAGGAAGATGGTGGGAGTTCGGAGTAGGATTGGAGGAGGAGGATGAGGAGGGGGAAGGCGAGGAGGGCAGGAGGAGAGATCTTGAGGCGGAGAGAAGGGAGGCGAAGTGTTCGATGAGCAGTCTGAGGACTTCCTGGACTTCATCAATCAAGCCGAGATATTCCTGGAGGCCCAAGTTGGGATGGACGAGAGTGGCAGACGAAGGATGGTGGGCGAGGTCGGGTGAATGGGCGAGAGAGGAGTGGAGGGTGGGACAGATGGACTGGGGCTTTCTGGCTTGATAATGCTGAGGAGTGTCGGGGATCGAATGGTTGGGAAGATGGATGATGCCCGGTTGGAAGACGATGGCCAGGTTCTTGGCGGTCATCAGATTATCCGACGAGCGGGCGGAGAAGAGGCCTAATAACTCCAACAGATAGAATAACAGATCCAGGGACTCCTTGGCCATCTGTCTCCGTAAGACCGCCTCGAGTTCTTCGACTACCATCGTCCTTACAATCGATATCGTCCGACTCCGTCCATCCCCCACTCCTCCTCCTCCTTGTTCTTCTCGATATCTTCGATATACTTTTAACATCTCTATCGTCGCTTCATTTGGGACTAACGGTTCCTAAGAATCACTCCAAACAAAATCACCACCACCCCCTTTCTTGATGAGTTTTTTGTGTCAAAATATTCAATGAAGAGAGAGAGAGAGACTCAACTGGTAAAGCCCAAAGATATCTCCGCAAGACACCAGCGACATCGTGCAAGCTAAAGTAAGGATTATTATTATTATTTTTATTATTTTGATTATTATTATTATTATTAAGGAGAGGGAATAATTTATGTTTAGGAGTAGCCAGATCGAAAGATTTTCCATAATTAAGGGTGGGGTCGATAAATATATCCTCGAGCTCTCTCATGCGTTTGACGTTGCCATTGATCCTGAAGATGCCGGGAGTGGCCATGGCGAGATGATCGTTAGCCTTGAGACGTTCTGCGCAGCTGAAGATGATGGTTGGCAGGACGAGGGTGTTTCCTCGGATGGCATGGTAGGATTGGGAGGAGATTGCGATTGCTTCCTTGATAGAGATTCCGAAGATCGAATGTAAGTTAGTTGAGGAGGGCGGTCTAGTGTTGGTTGAGGAGAGTCCGGAGAAGGTGGAGAGGCGATCGAGGGCAGCTGATGGCCCTAGTTTTCGTCCGGTCCAGCCGGTGGCTTGAGTCTGATTCTGTTGTGTGTTGAGTCCTGGGATGAGGATGGTAGTTGATCGCTTGAACCAGCTCGGGGATGGTCTCCAACTGAATTCGGTACTGCTGCTACTGTTGGGGGATGTATGCTGAGAGAGTGATGGGTTGAATGAGTTGGTTGGTTGGATGAGTGGTTCGGTTGGGTTGAGTAGGAGTGGCTGTGGCTGTTGCTGTTGGTGTTGGTGTTTCTTTGGTTTGTGGTTGATGATGAGTCTGCTGATGGATCGTTTGATGAGTTTTTTGAGTCTTGAGTTGGTAGTTGGTTGTTCCTGTTGTTCCTGTTGTTCTTGTTCTTGTTCTTGTTGGTTGTCTTGGTTGTTGTTTGTTGTTTGGTCGTGTAGTGGATGGTTGATGGTCATTCTCATTTGGATTAAGGTAGTAGTTAGTAGTTAGTAGTAGTAGGAGGGAGGAGAGCAGGAGAGGGAGAGGGAGAGGTGTGGATGGTCATGAACAAGTCAGAAGGAGGGATTATGTAATCAAGTCATCACATCACATGGGATAAAACACCATGCTTACATAAGCCAACCAAACTAAACACTAAACTATAAAAACAAAACCCCAACAAAAAAAAAAAAACTCCAAAAAACCACAAGGCGAGATGAAACGAACTGCAAACCAACTAGAACAACAACAACAAGAACAAGAACAAGAACAACAAGAAACCGAACGACCAACAGTACAACGAGTCAAGTTCAACCTAAACTCAAGCGACTCAGAAGAAGAAGAAGAAGAACAAAACAACGATGAAAACAAAGAAAACAGAGCAGAGACCACCGGATTCCTAACAGCCAAGAACCCCTCGGACGCCTACTTCCTAGCACACGGCAAGACCAACCCAACCTCGACCACCCTACTCTCAGAGCGGAAGAAGCATGAGCAGATACAACTAACCGACTATCTCGACCCATTCGACCCACAACCACTCCGATCAGCAGAATCGAATTGGGACCAATGGACTGCCGAATTGATCGAAGGATACTCGATCCTCTTCTACGGATTGGGCAGCAAACGGAGCACGCTCAATCAGTTTGTCGAGAAACATCTCGTCGCCAGCTTAGGATGGGAAGGACTGGTGGTTAACGGCTTCCAGAACGGATGCGAACTCTCGAATCTACTCCACGACTTGGAAGAGATCATCGATCAAAACGACTCACCAGATGATCATGATGATCAAGGATTCACTCAGCCAGTCGCCAACAAAAGATCGAGCTCATTAGAGACCCTCGAACTGAGAGCACAAGCCCTATGTGGACGACTGGCCAAGAAGAAGAAGGAGGAGGAGGAGGAAGGACCGGAGTGTGTGTTGATGATCCATAATCTGGATGGGATCGGGTTCAGGAACCCACGAATACAGACGATCTTGGGCCTGCTAACCGGCCAACCGACCATCCATCTGATCGCGACCATCGACCACATCAACGCCCCCATCCTGCTATCCAGTCATCTCTCCTCGGCCCGACCGACGAGCCTCGAACACACGAACCAACTGCTCGAAAGCTTCCCATCCACCTACAACTTCCTCTACCACCATCTCGCCACGCCCACCCCGTACACCCTCGAAAGTCTGCTCAGCGGAACCGTCTCCTCTCTGCTCCCCGCATCCATCTTCCCCTCGGTGATGGTCGGGAACCAGAAAACCATCAAGTCGGAGATCCTCAACAATGGCCTGCCTTCGCTCCAAGCCACCCTCCATGTGCTCTCCTCCTTGACCGAGAAATCTAAGGCGCTCTTCCGGCTCTTCGCCGAATACCAACTCCAACAACTCCTCGCTTTGCCCCCTCTCGAAGCCACTCGAGTCGATCACGAAATCGCAGGAAAAACACCGGCAGATCACGATCATCAGATCACTCCTTGCGTCGCCATCTCCATCATCGCCCTGTATGAACTCGCTAGGGCTGACTTCATCGCCTCTGCCCTCTCCCAATTACATGCCCTCCTCGTCGAATTTCGCGACCATTCCATCATTCGCTCTCGCTTTAGTCCTCCTCCTACCTCTGTCTCTTCTTCTTCTGCTACTGCCGCTAATCCTAATCCGGTCGATCTCGAGCCAATCGATGAGCAGCAGGAATGGATTTGGATCGCCCTGTCCAAGGCTGACTTGGAAGATATTCTTGCCCAGTTAGATCAACTTTAATCATACACTTCCAGTGTACTTCATTTTTTAGCTTCAAAAAAAAAAAGGTTTTATGGTGTCTGGTCTTAGAAATTAAAATGATAGACTCAATCATCCCAAACAAATCAAACAGGACCAAAAACAAAAAAAGAAAGTATATTTCTCAAAGGGGATGTTAATAAATCCCTGTTATATATGTATAGAGTTCGACATTTCTACATGTGCTCCTTTTTTTGATAATCAAATTTATTTATCTAACCATCCTGTTCTCTAATAATTACATATATAAACAAGCCAACATCCATCAGTCTATTTATATTGGGTAGTTAGTACCGATTTACAGAAGGGGCTGTATGTTCTCAAAGTTGAGTGGCATAGAGTCATCAATGTGCCTTACATTGTGAATGGGTTAAAATACATTTTTGGTTGGAAAATTAGACCTGAATTCAAATTGATTAGAAAGAATAAATAAATAAAAAACCCCCTTTGTATTTGAGAATGTGTGTGTGTGTGTATACAGAATGAAGAGTTTGATGATTTGGTGCAGCTGAAGTTTGAATGAAACCTTTGAGCACAAAATGGGCACTAAAACATGGGCTTATGGACTACCAGCACCTGAGCATCAAAACCCAGGGACTACTCTATGTATATAGTCTGATGCAGATTGATGTATACACCAATGTAGATCCCCCCCCCCCCCCAAGGATTGACGAGTGTCTGTAACAAGACCTGTGAAAGCTACGGCTCTCCTTCCAACAACACCTATGGAACCTCCCTTTTCATTGACTGTCCACAAACGTTCAGCTCCTTTGCTTACTATTCCATAGCTGTCTGGGCTGGTGGTCCACAATTAAACACAAGGTCTGGAAATGGAAAGCAACTATATATTATAGCTACCAGATTTGGAGCACTCACACTGGAGTTGCTAATTAACTTAGAGCAACTCCACCCCGGACGGCAAATTGGGTTTGTATGTGGAATTTAATGACTCTACAGGACCCACTGGGGTCCCTAAATCCTGCTCCCAAGTCCTCCATATATAGGCACTCCCAGGGACTGCACTACGGCCTCCAAACTACACTTTCACCCAACAACAACAACTTGTGAAACTCAACACTCACTCACCACTCCACCCTCAGCAGCTCACATGTCATGAAGATTTACCAACCACGGTGTATGCTGCAGCAGTTTGAGGCTGTAAAGGTAGCTTTGCAAACCCAATTTTCAAAATTTAATGGCCCAGAATTAGGGTCTGCGGTGGAACTGCTCTTAGGCATATATATATGTATATACATTATTAGACTCTGTTTGGGAGCAATATATTTGATGCCGGTTTGGTGGACCTGGTAATCAGAGTTCTCAGATGTCTTAGAGCCTTTCAGACACAAATAGCAATATATATCTCACAACATGTCACTTCCAAACAGGGCCTTTGTGTTTTATTGGAGAAAAATAGTCAAAGATGTCTGCTTGAATTCATGAACAACTTTGATTGGTTGGCTATGATATACTTCATCCCTATCCACATTCTTGAACATGAAGCAAAATTTGCTTTGGGATTTATGTTTATATCAAAAACAGGTAGTTACTCTGTTAGGATACTTTACCTTACCCAATGTTTTTGAGTCTCTTTGTTATAATGGGTACCATAACAGGCCTCTTCAATTAGGACGGTGTGCTGTGCTGTGCCTGTTCCAATGCCAAAAGCATAAAGAATAGGTGATAGTTACACACACTTATCATTCATTACAAGAGGAGGAACATTCATTATGTAGGACATACAACATCAGGACACGGTATAAATATGTAGGTGTGGTGTTGTGGGTAGGTTATGTAATATGGGTTTATTTATTTGTTTAATCAGTGGAAAAGAACATAAGACAGTTGATAAGGAGGGGAGAAGGAAGGTAGGCGGAGAGGCATTGACCCTGAAGAATGAACAAGGAAGGAAGTGAGCAAGTGTTTCATCTGATGTTTCATCTGTTGCTTCATCTGTTGAGATGAAACACAGAACATTTTGAATGTGGATTGGGTTTTTGAGTAACAGATCTCATAAGACTGTACACTGTACTGGAGTACTGCTTTGGAATGTTTCAGCACGTGCTACATGGCTTGGTTTCATGACATCATGCTGTGCTGGTGGGTGTTACCTGCAGCAAAAATGTCTCACAAGGAGTCCCCTGCAGCAGAAATCCCTCACTCTCCAATATAAAAGGAGGGCCTCTCTCCACCAGGAATTCTCTTTTCCCCCATCAACCTGGTGAGGTACGTTGGTCACAATTAGTTAGTTAGTAGTGTGATTGTCAGAAGTAGTTAAGTAAAGTCAGAGATTTATAAGTAGTAGAACCAGAAACATTCAACCATAAAAAATTAACATTTATTAACAATTAAGTAGTAGTAGTATTAACACTGGAGCTCTAGTTTTGATTTAAGTGCCTTAGCAAGAAATTATTTGAGGAAGAGATCATTAACAAACTCTAATTAACAACAACTCAACTGTCTTGCACCCAACCATAAGTGCTACAGTTTCCATTATCAACCTGAAGTTGTAACAGATTCATTAGTAGATTGATACGTGATCTAGGTCTGATAGAGATTGCTTTACAAAAGTAAGATCTATCTTGGAATCAGCCACATATTATTAAATATTGATTACAAGACTCTTATTTATTTGTTTAGTACATTAGAGGGGCAGGTCTTTCAAACCACCCGAAAGTTGTAATAGCCTTTCAACCTATTTGCAATTTATTTCCCCCTCAAGGGATCTTTTGATATACATATACTTTACCGTGTCTATCCGTCCCAAGAGTCCTACAACGTTTCACATTTGAATAAACTCTTGTTGATTTTGGATAAAATTCCTGCTTGCTGGTTTCAAAAAAGTTTAAAAATTGGCAGACATGCAGGCAAACTTTATACATGCAAACTCAAAGCGCTCTGCTGGTTTCACATAAAACGTTTGCTGAAATATTTCAAATGTGAACCGTCCTATTGAGGCTGTTACAGGTCAAGTCAAGTGTTAACTGGGGATAATGAAAAAATCATTGCAAGAAGGCTGTTTTAGGCCAAGAATTCTGCCCCCCTAGTCTACTCCAAGTGTTCAGATAATTTAAAAACCATCAAATCATTTTTCTTCTCCTGGTCTGGTAACACTCTACTAACAGGAAAAACCACCTTTATCAGTAACAATGCCGGCAACAACAAAAGATAATCAATTTAGTGTTACATCACTGTTATCTGCAATGTACCCTGTGTGTATATCCAAATCTGAATATCCCTACTCTTGATTTCAATCAACAGTGAGCCGCTATGCTACACTACACTATTTGACCACTAACTGTTAGTGTAGTGGCCTTTTTTCCTTGAAAATTATGTAGTGTTAGCTCACACTAAACCTCACTGAGCTAACTGTTAGCGCAGTTTAAATTTTTCTCTCAAATTTTTTGTTAGGCTCTGTTTGGCCACCCAAGATATCATATATCAATATTGAAGAATATTGCAGATTATGCCGGGGGGATGGGGATTATGATGCTGGTGAGAAGGCTGTTTGGCAGGTCACATCATAACAGCTCGTTCATCACGGAATATACTTTTTGCTTATATTCTCCAGCCAAGAGGAAATTCTGGAATGGACCAATATTTACTGTGAAAATGGATTTGCATTGTTGTGTAATAGTTGGATTAAGGTTGATAAATCTTAAATCCGATTATTAGGATTTGTGTATACCAATATATAACATTTTGGGCAACCAAACAGAGCCTTGGTGTTAGCTTCAAATAATCTACATATAACTAAAGGAATAGCCTCAGAGGACCAAACAAACCGTCAGGCTTCAATCAGTATTTCTATTGTTTCTCATGCGGCTTCTAACACCGGCGTCGATGTTGCACAAGTCAATGTCATTTCCGACATTTTCTAGGACTTGACAATCATAGCAACCTTCAAAAGTGAAGGCTAATACACCATAGGACCTTCAAACAAGTAAAACCCCCAACATCTGGGGCAAAAACAAGCAGCCTCCCCAAATTTGGGGGCATATACTAGTCTGAGATAAACTAACAGTTAGTGTAATTTTTTTTGCTAACAAAATTTTGACTGTCAGATAGTGTAACGGATTTGACGCTAACATTTAGAGTAACTTATACTGAATTAAGCTACACTAAACTACACTACATGCCTAGTTAAGCTATGCTACAGTAGAAGTTACACTACACATGTAGCGTAGTGTAACTCATCAATTAGAGAAATTGACATTTCAAGTGAGAATTTATGCTCTTGAACCCTCTTGCTCTGCTTTCTGTTTTCAATGGGAAACTTGTGTGAACTTTCCATATGACTGATACGGCCAAGCACATGGGCCTACACAGAATTTCCCCAAAGGGAAATCTTGTAAATTTTAGGGAAATTCTGTAAACATTGAAAAAAAAAACCCCGATTTTTTTGGATTTTCTGAATTTTTAGCTTTTGGATTTTCCAGATTTTCAAATTTGTAGATGCTCTAGATATTCTACATTTTTCAGATTTTTTATATTTTTTGTATTTTTTAGAAATTTTAGAAATTTTAGAAATTTTTAGATTTTTTAGATTTTTGAGATTTTTTTAGATTTTTGGCATTAGAGTTTTTAGATTAAAAGAATCTGCAGATTCTTTTCTAATTTCTTTTAGATTTCTTTTAGATTTTTTTTTGATTTTCTTAGTTTTTTTTTAGATTTTTTTAAATAAAAACTAAAAATTCTAAAAATTCTAAAACATCCAAAAAATCCAAAAAATCCAAAAAAATCTAGAATATCCAGAGCATCTAAAATTTGAAAATCTGGAAAATCCAAAATCTAAAAATTCAGAAAATCCAAAAAATCCAGATTTTTTCAATGTTTACAGAATTTCCCTAAAATTTACAAGATTTCCCTTTGGGGAAATTCCATATAGGCCCATGTGAAGGTCCATAGTGATGATTTTCAATGTCCTATGATTGCACACAATCCCGCAGAAAATGAACAGCACAAAGATGTAGAGAAAAACAAATGGAGGATGTGCCTGGTGAGATTTGAACTCACAACCTCAGCAATGCTGAGTCACATAAAAAGTTGCACTAATTGTTAGTGTAACTGAGTGTCAGCTCTGTGTATGCTACAATGGTTTAAATAATATAAAAACCAGGTGCCATCACTGTGCTGAAGGACTACCAAAGAAAAAGATTACCCTTTTTCACCCTTTATATGTGGTCCAAATTCCACAAAGGTTAAGTCCACACTCCTTTAAGCTTATTTGTTTCTAATGAACCAAATAACAGGAGATTAACAATTAATAAGTTGTTATAGTTTGGGTTTTAAAGCAATAATAATTGCTAAGAAGCAGCTGGCAAGCACTTGAGCTGATTGGCTACTTGTCAGAGGTGGTAGTCTTGCAGCAACTGCTTTATAAGGAATTTTAGTGAGGGATGAAAGGGGAATTTCAAAGTTACACACTAATAATTCCAGTAGTAAAAGGATGATTGGGATTGGGATAACTACTTTAAAAGTAGGAGGAGAATATTCACTGTACTTACTAAGTATGCTGTGGGTAAATATGCTAAGGAACCAATCTTAGGCCAGGAATAGCCTCCTTTTATATCCTAGAGTCCCCCTTGGGGGCATTCTTAGAATATTCTAGAATGTTTATTTAAAGTACTACAATAGTATTTCTTCTCATGATGTAATGAGAATATTGTAGTATATTAAATACAGTATTATCTATTTCCCCATGACATCATGATGCATTGTTATAGCCAATTACATCATGTGTCTACTTATAATAGAATAATACTGATGGAAATTACAACACACTTAACAAAGGTGGTAATTTCTACACTTTGAATTATAGTTTAAATTTATATTTGTAACTATAAATTTAATGTTTGTTTTTTATCTTTATTTTATATTATTTTTAGAGTATTTTACATTTTTATTCCTACTAACCTCTGAGGCTCTTGAGTTATGACAAAGTCCTAGAAGGAGTAGGAAATTGGGGGTGGTTCCAGTGAGCAACCCCCTATAAAATATTATGAAAAGTTTATTTATGAAATAATATTCTAGTTTTTCTTATTATTATTACAAGTAATATATTATTAAGCAGTCTTTTGGATACTCTTGAGGATCTCTAAGGCTGACACTGAGGGAACCACTACACTAATTGTTAGTGTAACTCATCAAAAATTTATTTTGGTCTGTAGTGTAGTGGTTTTGACCACTAACACCACTACAATTGTGCTAACAAGGTTTTTGGTTAGTGTTAGTTGTACTTTTTCCAAGTCAGCTAGCACTACACTAATTTTTTTTTTTTAAGAATCTGTATGTTAGTGGGCCAAAATTTTGGCTAACAGTTACTTTTTTGTAGTCTAGCTTAAAAAGCTAACACTACAGTTAGTGTAACTGGCCCACCATCTGTTCAACTGCTTAGAGCATCTCCACTGCGGTCCCTAAATTGGGTCCCTATACCGCATTTAGGGACCGCAGCCCAAAAAACACCGCCCACCGCAGTCCTCATCCGTGTCCATATTTTACGGATTTCATCCTTGGTCCCTCTCCAGACCCTGGATCCAGGGATTGGATAGGGACCAAGGATTTTACACCACAATGTGAATGTCACACAACATCACACTTCAACCTAGTGTGACAACTTGTCAACACTACACCAATATTGGTGATTTAAGGACACCCCGGTGTGGCAGAACAGCGTTCCGAGTCCCTACACACATTTCCGAGTCTGTATTTTCAATTGATAGGGACCTGAAAATACGGACTGTGGTGGAGATGCTCTTAATACTTTGAGATTGAACCAGGACAAAGCTGAGGTTACTTTTCCAAATTTAACTCAGATCTTATCAAAATATCTGTAGACAAGGGTTTCCCAAATAATTCACAGCCCATACTAAGCAGTAGGATGCACTGCTCCTATAATCTAGTTTAATTCTATAAGCCAGTCCATCTTTATACTCCTTGCACCATGAATTCTGTGATTTCACTTGCTAGCAAGTGACATCAAAGACTCTCCAGATGAAGCTTGCACCTTTATTGAGCCAGTAAATTTTTGTGAAGTCACTGTGCAGTGGAGATTGACATGGGCTCGCCCTGAGCTTGGACAGAGGCTGGGTGTGTGTGAAACTCCTCCCCATAGGTTTCAAAATAATATCACAGAATCACAAATCCCACCACCTACTTCAACACTCACTACCCCTCTGCCTTCCTAGTTCATATATTATTTTGAGACTGATACCGGGTATCAGTATTTCCTTGGTTTGTGGTAAAATCCAACATCTCAGATTTTTCTTTTCCAAGCAAAAAAAAATGGTATTTGTTTATTTTTCACCTGTGTCACTCAAATTCTTCAGTTCCAAACCAAAGAAAATGGTGCCATTATCTTTGGTTTGGAACCAAAGGGCAGCCAGAGCTGGGTGAGCTACCTGGAGCTGGGTCCCCCAGCTGACTAGATTTCCAAAAACAAAGGCAGAGACAAAGTATCTGTAGCTCAGCGGTTTCCACTGGCCCTAAAATCTGACCACCCAGCAGTTTGTGGGTTCAATTCCCACTGGCCCCATCCCCTGATGGGGGTTAGGGGGCAGGATTTTGGGGTTAGGGGGCACCTCACCCCCAAGAGAGGCACGGTACTTGGACAGGTTCGAGCGTAGTTGTTCATCTGCCTGGGTCTTGTGGGGCCATTGGGGACCTGGTGTAGTCGTCAGAAATCCAATGGCCCCCACTTCAATGGGGGGTGGGATGGTTTAGGGTTTAGGGTTTAGAGTTTAGGTTTAGGGTTTAGGTTGGTTAAGGCTGTTGTTTAAAAAAAAATGGCCAAACCGGGTTTTTACCCAGCTCACCCAGCTCTGCTTGTTCTTTGGTTTCAAACTAAGAAACTGTGATGAGGGACAGCTTAGTATAAGCGACGAAGAACCGGAAAGAAGAAAAGATAAAATATCTTTTAGGAGAGACAAACCTGTGATGAGGGACAGCTTAGTATAAGCAACGAAGAACCGGAAAGAAGAAAAGATAAAATATCTTTTAGGAGAGACAACTGCGAGTCGACCAGAATTGTGAGACGAAGAATAAGATTGAATTGTATTCATCAGAATCATAAAAGAGAACAACCAATATGATGACAGTACTTACACCTGTGATGAGGGACAGCTTAGTATAAGCAATGAAGAACTGGAAAGAAGAAAAGATAAAATATCTTTTAGGAGAGACAACTGCGAGTCGACCAGAATTGTGAGACGAAGAATAAGATCAAATGAAGAAAAGAGAAAGAGAACGAAACACAAAAGACAACAGGATGAATGAAAATTCCTCATGGGTCATGCAACATCCCCGATCATCACCATGATCATTTAACCGTCTTCAACTAGAGATGGTCGATTGGCATCCGGATATCCGCGCGGATGCGGATATCCGGCTGCTTTTTCCGGCCATCTGAGCATCCGCATCCGCATACGCACCCGCTGGCGGGTATCCGTCGGCCGCAGCGGGTATCCTCGGATACCCGCCCTCTCAAGGGCCGGCTGGAAGGGTCTCCTTCCAGCCGGCCATTTCCCCTTCCGGCCACGGGTATCCTTTGGGATACCCGGATACCCACAAACTTTTAGCGGAAAAGGGGCCATCCGCACCCGTTGGCGGGTATCCGTTGGCACTGGCGGGTATCCGCCAGCAGATAACGGGTATCCGCAACGGATACCCTTCGACCATCTCTATCTTCAACGGTCCGATCCCAATACCGTCATCATCACACAAACCAATGATAATTTCACCATTCTCTTCCGTTTGGGACCAAAGGATCCAATTGCCAAAACTCATCCTGAGTCAGAAGCCAGTTTGTGGAAGTTATCCTTTGCTCATCTTTCCACAAACTTCACTTCTGGCTCAGATCTGTCTTGTTGTCTTTATCTCTTTATCTCTTTTCTTTCTTCTCTCTCTCTCTTTGTTCTTCTCTTTTCCTCTCTTTCATGTTACAATGAAGCTTATCCTTCCCCACTTCTGGCTTGGCTTCATCAGAACATCTTTGTACTATTTTCCTATTTGTTTCAAGCTCCATATATTAATGTATCTATTCTGTTTTACAATTTCTTGATTTAAGTTAGTTCATTCTACAAATACATTCACTCGGTTCCGTGATTTTACATATGCAGTCCTCTCATTGCAGGTAAGACAAGTTAAAAGTGAGATGACCATTAGTAAAAATAGAAAGCAGACTTGATTTTAAAAGAAAACCATTTGATTTACGATTTATTGAGTGGCTGGGTTCTGTTGTTGCATGGTAGAAGCAGTATTGATAGAAAATTGTTGGAGATCGTGAGAGAGACTAGTTCTCCTCAAATATACCTCATCAAAAAGTGACTGGCGTCTGTTCAGCGAACGACGATCAGCGGCTGAATTTTGTAAGTCTTTCAAGACTTGTACCGTTGTTTCGAAATCAATACATCCATCCCTTTCAATCAATTTTTTTGTTCAAAAGAGGTAAGCATATAGTTTCTCGGATCGGATGGAGTGGGAGGAGATAAACTTATCAAGCGGACTGACGTGATCGAGATACCATGTTTTAATCCCTCTCGTCCTTCCACTGGGACGTCTTGTCTACCTGCTCCAATGTTCGACTCAATCATCACTCCATGGATACTTTTCTCTCCAGATCGAATCTGTTGACAAACATCCTTAACCACTTTGGTTTGGTTACGGTAATCTTTTTGAGCTATTCGAAAGACAGAGAAGAATAATAAAAATTCAGCTTAATGTCATTTCAATTTCTTACTACGATTCACGAAGGCAGCTCAGAAAGAAATTGTATCACAGAATCAGGTTAACTGACCATTCCCATGGCTGCAATCGATAATGAGGGAAGGAGAATATCCCAAGCGTTGCTTCTGTAAAGCATCTCTAGCCTCAGAGACCGCTTCTCGATGGAAGTTAGGACCCTTCTTACCGCCTCTTAAGATCAATGACAACGCCGGATTACCGTTGGTTTTGACGATGCTGACGAGGCCATGATCATTTGTACCGATGAAGGAATGGGGCAAACTAGACGCTCTGATGGCGTCGATGGACACCGAAACATCCCCCGTCGTCCCGTTCTTGAATCCTACTGGATGACCTGCTCCGGAGGCTAACTCCCGATGGATCTGTGATTCCGTCGTCCTTGCTCCAATTGCTCCCCAGGATACTAACTCTGATAAAAATTGAGGACTTCAGATCAATAAAGTAAAAACATGGGTCAAAATTCTTCGTCCATCTTTCCATCATTTGAAGAATGTTTCTTCTTTTGCTTACCTGATCGGATCAAGTATCTCAACCGCAACAGGTAAACCCAGATGAGTTAAATCACAGAGTAACTTTCTAGCGATTCGTATACCTTTATTGATTTTGAAAGAGCCATCGATATCTGGATCATTGATTAAACCCTTCCAACCAACTGAAGTTCTAGGCTTCTCAAAATACTTTTCAAATGAAATATGTAGGTTGGAATCTGCTTTAGCGATTAATCTTTGAATAGAGAAAGAATGATTGGTACTTACGGCACGCATGATGATTATCAAATCAGGAAGGGTGGGTATTAAGGGTAACAAGAGTCGAGCGTATTCAAGCGCTTGAGCCGGATCTTGATGTAGATACATAAAAAAAAATTAGCCATCCAATAGACATCAATAAAGTGCAGGATTCAGAATGATATGACAAATTGAAGACACCATACTGACCATGGATGGAACAGGGCCCTATAATCACAATCAATCGACCATCTCTTCCCGAGATCACATCCGAACTTGCTCTCCGAGCCCAATCGATCACTTTTCTGGAATTCTCACTAACTTTGATGTCTGCACGAAGTAGTAAGGAAGGCACCAATGGCTCGTACTACATATATTGGGTGATGATATGATACCATACCACTCACGATGTCAGGGGAAAAAGCTCTCATCGATCATCCTTCTTGATTTTAAAAATAGAAAAAGGCGTACACTGTTCGTCTTTTGTTCGTTCGCTTGAATCGCAGTTGGACTTAAACTATCAACAGCCAACTCATTCGGATTGTGAGTATGCGCATTTGGATTGTGAGTGCTAGGATTAAGACTATTCGGATTAAGTGAGACCGTATAAGTTGGTCCAAACTTTCCCGACATTACCCACGGAAGATTATTTTTTAAATTGTTTAAGGGTTTTACTGAAGAATACACTGCTAAGAAATAGTTTTATTCTGGTTGTGATTCCTTTGACGAGGAGGAGCAAAAGTGATATTTACACGGGTCTGAAGTGGATTATTTTGAGTCTCTTTAAAATGTCAACTTCACTTAATCATGAAACACTTTCTCTATACTTTATTCTGTTAAAGGGCCCTTGAATTGACATTGTTCATCGCTCTTGTTAATTACTTCAGTGAGAAAAAAAAGTATATTTACCAAATCAATTAAAAATATCGATGGATTTTTCGAGATTTTCTATTCAGATGACCTCCACCGATAATCATGATATCATGATATGTATGCAGAAGTACAGATGAGATGGACATATGATTCCGTGAATATTGGAGGAGATTATTATTGGACTGCCAGCTCACCAGACCACGTTCTTCTACTTTTTCTTCCTGAACTCGACAACAAAAGAACCGCCGGATGTCAATCTGCAGGCTGCAGCACTTTACCTCAGTGCCCCGCATTGATACTCAGAGGTCTGGGTGGACTGACTCGCCCATCCTTTCGAGTGCAAGTTGTTTTTATCCGGAATTGATGGATGAAGCTTTTTCAATTGCAATGATAATCTCTGATGGTACCACCGAGACCATTTGCAGATCTCGGTCTGCGCAAGTGTAACTCAGACCTCTAAATTCGCAGGTTCACCTGGTTGTGAATGATAGGAAGGAGTCCTCACTTGACACTAGTATTTAACAAGTTCTTTCGAGTTTTTAAATACACCAGAAGTGATTTGGATAAGCTGCGGACTGACACAAAATGTAAGGGCCGCTTATTTTCTTAATCACTTCATTGAAAACTTGAGAGTACGTATTGATGGAGAAATCCAGTTGTCGCGTTTTCCTGTGAAGAGGAAAATAATGACTTTCATGTGTACTGCGACTAGGGATTATCGGGTTACATCTTTTTTCGCTCTATGTATCCGCTAGCTTTTTCATCTTGTTTTACAGCAGGTAGGCCGATGGATGTCCCAGAGGTCGAAGCACCTAAAGAAAGATGAAATCTCAGGGATTACATTATACCCTAACGTCTGAACACAACTCCGGTGGGAGGCTCGCTGTGTACGTAACGATGGCGCTGGGCGCGAAGCACGAGACTCCTTCGAAGTTCGGACGCGAGCCGGCCCCGAGGCTGAAAGGGCTTCAAGTTAGGGAATTACCTATCCACACTGTAGGGATGTAAATGGGTCGGGCCAACCCGGAAAGACCCATGACCCGTCGGGTTTGGGGTTGGGTATGGGCAGCCTTCAGGTCCTGCCATAAAGAGCTGACCCGGCCCATCAAGACCCGCTAGAAAGTATTGGCCGGGTTCGGGCAGAGGTTTTTTATGTGGGCCGGCCCACAAACCCGGCTAAAACCCAATTACATAGGGTAGCTGTGTGTGTATTGTTTTTGGATCCTGCCTTCTAAGTTCCAGGCTATTCAAATATTAACACGTAGCTGTGGCTATTCCCCCATCAAGACTCAACAGCTCCCTCAGATCCCCAAATGGCCCGATTCAGAAAAAGTTGCACTTCTGTGCTACCATCTTCCTCAGATTCCGATGACATCCAGATTTCTGAGACTTCCCCCAACACCCAGACAACCTCTGCTACTCCCTCAGCATCACAAAAGAATCGGGACGAAAATGAGCAGGCCACATCAAGTGCTCAAGATGTTGCTACTCATCAAACAAGGAAGCGCAAGACCACCAGCGATATTTGGACACATTTTACAAAGAAGGCAAAGGGTCTGTTATGATTATTAATTTCTTTCAGCCTTGAAGATTTTACTAATATATATGTTTTTTTGCTTCCCAGGCAACGAAGTGAAGGCAATCTGTGTTTATTGTCAAGCGCCGATGGACGGAAAGAGCAAGAATGGAACGAAACACCTTTGGCGACACCTAGAACGATGTAGCTCCTATGCCACAAAGAGCAAACAATCATTACTGAAAGTTTCAGAAACTTCGTCATCAGTATCAACTTGGATTTTTTCCCAGAAGGCCTCTCATGAACTCTTATTGAAAATGATCATCACACACGAGCATCCCTTCACCCTAGTTCAGCAGCCCCTCTTCCGAGCATTTGTGGCCTCACTGCAACCAAAATTCAAGCTACTTAGCCGCGGCACGATCAAGTCTGATATCATCGATTTGTATCAGTCAATGAAAGCAAAACTCATGGTCGATATCACCCAAGTTGATCGGATTGCCTTAACAACTGACATCTGGACCTCTTCTAACCAGACTCCCTACATGGTAATCTCGTCACATTTCATCGATTCCAACTGGACCCTCAACAAACGCCTTCTTGCTTTCAAGGAGCTTCCAACCCCTCACACCGGCTTAGCCATTGCTGATCAGCTGCTTACAACTATTGCGGAATGGAAAATTGCGGATAAAGTTGCCTTTATCACTGTGGATAACGCATCAGCAAACGATCTTGCCATAGCTCGAGTCTTCTCAGTTCTCAAAGATCGAAGTAGTTTGCTACTCAACATGAATGGGAAGTTTTTTCATGTCCGTTGTGCCGCTCACATAATCAACCTTATCGTAAAAGATGGCCTCAAGAACGTCTCGGCCTCCATAAGCAAGATTCGTGATGGTGTGCGATACACTCGAAGTAGCCCTTCTCGAAAGCAGCTCTTCAGTGAGGCAATCAACTTAACCAACATGTCAAAAGGTCAAGCCCTCCCCATACTTGATGTTCCCACCCGCTGGAACTCAACTTACGAGATGCTCAAGTCGGCCACCCCTTACAAAGATGCATTCGATAACTTGGCCTTGCAAGATGCAAACTTTACTGACTGCCCAACCCCTGAGGAGTGGGAGGAAATATCGGCTATGCAAGAGTTCTTGGAAATATTCAGCACCGGTCAGTTTTTTCAATCTTGGCTTTTAGGTACCTCAATGACTGTTAAATCTTCAACTTACCGGTGGTTCTTTCTTACTCTGTAGCCACAAAGAAACTCACTATGACCCAACATCCAACGGCTCATGCTGTTTACAAATACATGAAGCAAATCGACACACAACTTAAAAATGTGTTGGACAGTGGACCAGCTAACCTTATTGACTTGATACGGCCGATGCAAGACAAATACAACAAGTACTGGGAGAAGATGAAGGACTTCTCGGCAATCAGTCTTGTTTTTGATCCTCGCTGTAAGTTGGTGATGATTGAGTTTCTTCTGAAGGACGAGCTTGGTAACGATCAAGCAGCAGCTAGTATTGCTGCTATCAAGAAAAACCTCTCTAGCTGGTTCAACGATTTCATATCCAACACCCCAAAGCGGACAGATGTTGTGGAATCTACCGATATTATTCAAACACAATCAAATAAAACGAAATCTGTCATTGCTGAAGACAATGTTGACCTGCGCTTCAAGAAATATCTCAGCGAGATCCAATCCGCCCAAGCCATCTCGACCACTGCCGAGCTCGATCTGTACCTCCAGGAACCTCCAGTTACGATTGACTCCCCCAATTTCTCAATTCTTGCCTGGTGGAGCACTCACAATGGACGATTTCCGAACCTTTCGAAGCTTGCTAAAATAATATTGATGGTTCCGATGACATCAATTGCATCAGAGGCTGCATTCTCCACAAGTGGAAGAGTCCTCAGCGACTATCGAACTAGAATGAAGCCAGAAACACTCGAGGCCCTCATATGCAGTCAAGACTGGATTCGAAGCAAGGAAGGTCTCTACCCTGACCCTGATGACAATGAATCTGATATTTAAACATCTTCTTTCTTTTTTTCCCTACTCAATAATACATCTATCAAAGATACTACACAATACAATACTTCTTTTCTCTCATATTTTTTCAATCAAATGTCAAAGAACATGACCTCATTCATTCGGAATACTGCAATATGACAACTTCTTGACCCTGAAAGCTTGATGAGCTTGCTTCGCCCCCAAAAATTTGGGTCGGCCCGAGACCCGACCCAGATCTGACTTCTCATAAACGAGTTTGGGTTTGGGCAGCATGTTGGGAGTTTTGCCCCGACCCGACCCGACCCAACCTTCACACCGGGACGGGTTTAGGCACCATTTTTTGGCCCGAACCCGACCCATTTACATCCCTAATCCACACATTTTTTATCTACATATAAATCTGTTGTTAATTTATCAAACCCCCTTTCAACCTCTCTTGTGTGCGTGCGTTCACGATCATGGAGATACTATATTCTGATTAGTGTTCTGGAATTTCACAAGAATATTAGCCCAGTTCCTTGTTGTGCCATCAGTAACGGATAATCGAAAGTTTTTGCTTAAAATCACTGGGAGATTGCTAAGTTTCAAGCACCAGCAGGCCAATTCGACTCATCAGCGAAGTCAAATGGCTACTGATTCCTCTTGCCGTTTTTGATGTCTAGACCTCGATTTATCCAAATCAGCAAATTTTTCATGAACCCGCGTCAGCAAACCAAATGGCTATTGCGAAATTCTCAGTAGAATTCAAATAATAAAAATTACAATGGTAAAAAACTGGAGTCTCCGGAGATCAATCTGCCGGAGTCTTTCTGTCTTTATGATTTTGAGCATTTTTTCTCCTAATATCTATTACATTCGATTTTGGAAGGTTTGTTTGACAGGATTTGATCAAACCTCAATGTGACTTGTAAGGATATCCCCAGCCTTCAGCCTCTCTCTTCAACTTCATTTTTTTCGTTTGATTACCCCTTTTTTCTGCCCATAAAATCTTCTTCTTCCCAAAAAAAAAAAATTCGCAGTTGGGACCTTGGGTTTCTTGTTGTGCATAACCCATGTTGTGCATAATCCAAGTGAACAAGAATGGCTAAATTTTTCTGAATATTAATTTCAAGGAAACATATGATCAAAGACAGTAGGGATTTACTGCGTGGAAGCGTTGACCATCATCGTTGAGTCGCAGCCGCGGCAAGTGTTAATTCCATGCCACAACCTCAAGTACTTTTTACTCAGTCCAACCCGACTCCTAATTTTTCTTACCTATGCGGATGCCTCAGAGAGCAGGGTAGATGAAGAGGATCAACAGTTCTACGCCAGTTGGGTGAACTCCTAGTTACCTCTGGAGCACATTCTTCCAAACCTTATCCATCACAATGGTTCAGAGATATATTTTTCTGGGATTTCCACGTAAAGTAAGAGATTCAAGATCATGTTACCAGCTTCGAGAATGGCGGATTGGCTTGAATTGATTTAATTCTTCTGGAATTTCAATGATGACATTGGCGGAGTGTGCCAGTGATCTCAGCTAATGTGTTTAATCTATGTCGCGCGATCGTGATAAGTCAATCGATTCTAATTATTATTGAACCTGTCCATCCAGATTCTCTTCAGGTAAGGAAACCAAGCAATCTAAACTTAGTACGTGAGACATGAATTCTATAAAAAGAGAGACACAATCATCACTCTGGATGATAAAAGCGTATGGTTATATTGAATCCGACTGCCTTTGAAACTAGGCACAAGACGTTAATAGAAGATATAGGCGATCATCTAGTACTACAGAACAAGTAAGAGACATATAATTGAGTTTGATGGTACATTGGTATGAAGTTTTCTGCTTGATTTAACAACTAGAGAATACAACGTCACGAAATACAAATGATTATTCGAAAAAATATGTCTGCCTTTGAAACTAGGCACAAGGTGTTGAGAGGAAACTAGAGTAAACCTTTTGATACTGTGAATGAACGAGTGAGAGGCTTATGATTTGGTCTAATGATACATGAATATAATTTTTTAAGGTCGAGGTAATAGAGCTTCTAGAAAGACGAAAGGGTACATGATAAATAATGACTGCCTTTGAAACTAGGCACAAGTTGTTGGAAGAAATTGAGAGGCGGTTTTCTGATGTTACAAAGTCACGAGTAAGAACTTTATGATTGAGTCTAATGGTACATTTATCTAGTAGTACAGAATCAAAAGAAAGATAGAAAAGTTTCGAAGGAAAGATGATAATTAAAGTTTGAAAGAGTTTAATCAATCTATGAAGAGCAAGTTTTATGAAGAATGAGGGGATTAGTTTTGATTCAAAAGGATAGTCGATCGATTATGAGGACTTACTTAGCTAAGAATTCAAGCCGGTCCAGTAGGGTTTTTTGAGTCGGATTGGCCTTGAAGAGCCTTGAGTTCTTGCGGAAGGGCTTGAACGTTGAAGATGATGCCCTGGCGGCGGTTTGCGCGAGATGAGGTTGGAGGAGGAGGAGCAACTTTGGGGGCTGGCTTCAAGTTGCGGTTTGAAGCACCATCGCGTGAGGGAGCACCAACAGGGCAAGTGGGTGAAGTGTCGTAACCGACTCGCATCTTTCCTACTACTGGCATATGGGAGAGGAAGAGAAATCAAGGATGATAAGGAGTTGATCGGAGAAGTTGAGATGGGGGGAGAGAGAGCATTGAATTTACCTTGGTCTAAGAAGCTGGGGGCGGGGGGGGGGGGCAAGCCCTAAGGGTAAAATTTATTGATTGATGCGCTAAGGGCCTGCCTTCTGAGGGGAGAAAAGAGGCGCTGTCACTGTCTAATTCAGAGAAGGAGAAGGAGGGGGATGTTCTACAATAGGATCGGAGGAAATCTTACTTAAGCGCTGCCTGGGTAGAGGGGGAGCGTAGGGAGGATTGGGTGGGGGAGGGAGGAGTGAGGAGTGAGGATGAGGGAGGATGGAAAAAGAGCTCGGCGGTCAAACAGTCGGTCTATTTAAGCTAGACAGCTCCGCGTCCATTGCTGCTACTGCGGCAGCACCTCACTGCTACCCTTTGTCCTTCCTACCCCCATACGCGGTTGTGGTGTATTTGGCTCTCTGCTGAGCTTGCCACGAATTAGAACGTGATCGGAACAATTTTTACGCGCTCATTGTGCACTGTGATTGGCCAGAGGCATTCCAACTCTATTCATGTTTAGCTTTACAGCCTTAGTACGCGATCGCGATTGCTTTTCCTTTGTCCAGAAAAATTTGAGATCACCGGTAGCAGAGAGCTGTTAAATTATCACGTTGCCCAGTATCCTTGAATCATTGACCCGGACAGTATTGATTGACCGCCAAAGCTTCAAAGGCACTTCAAACTGCTACATACAAGCCACCTGCTATCTGAGTTGTTTGTTTCGCAGATGGCCGATGGATGCCGAGACTAATCTATAGCAGACCGCCACCCCAAGGCTTAATTATTATGATATTCCACTGCGGGGGTGTGCTTCTTGGGTTGTTGGAGTATAGTGGACCAGTTATAGTTGTAGGAGAATGGGTAATGTGTGACTTATTGGTAGTCAATAATGAGCCATCGTTGCAAGTATCATTCACGATACGATAACGGTGTACAGATAACAGTTTATGGATGTTAAAAATCGGTGGTTCTCCGCAGTCACTTGCCTAAGAGTTTACTCAGTGGATATACCTAAGCGGTCTTATTTGTTAGATTTCTACCCAGTAATGGTCGCACTTCGTGCAAATGGCATGAGGGAAATTGTCAGCACCAAAGTGTGCCACCAGTGTGATGAGTCTTTTTGAAGTAAATTGTATGAACGAGTCTCCGAGTCACCCCGCTGACTTGATTAGCAACTCCCGGGTTATCGGCGTTCATCATACCAAAGCACCTCCCTCTTTGCAAAACGCGTTGAAGTTGAACGTCTTCTTCGATTTCCTTAAGCAAAGATCAAAAAATCCTAGTGTGATCAATTCAGATGAATGAATTGATCGGTAACTCTGGGGTGAATGATTTGATATTTGTCTTCTAATTTGCAGCAAACACTTTTAGATGAGGTGTCCTCCATGTCTCCGTCCCGATACGTCAATGATAACTGGGCAGCGTGTTTGACCTCTACACATGGAAAACGAAATGTCTACATCGAATTTAACTTTTGGAGAACAGCAGGCATGAATTAAGAGCATTTAGGCCTCTGTACTACATTTCTGGCGTTATTCGAGCTCTCCAAGAGAATGATTGTCAGCTACAAACTCAGAGGGGCAAGGGAAACTACCCATAAACTAGCCTTTCAGAATATTCTCAATTCGACGGGCTGATGTGAGAGCTTATTATGGCCCCATAACAAATTGACTCTTAACAAAATGCTTGATTGACGCAATCGAACGGCAACTACATACTCCTCAGTGAAAGACAACTTCATATTTAAGCTGCTCTACTGGTGGGCGTGACTGACAGTATGTATAGAAACAGACGGTGCAAAAGAATCCCTTCAAGGGATCTCTCAAAACAGAAAGCCCTTCGGATGATCGGTACGCAATTTGCTTTGACAATTGGCGACGTCTCGATTGATTACAAGTAGATGGTACATAAGTGGAGAGAATTCCAACGTAACTCTATGCTACGTTTTGATGATGACTCGGGAAAGGTTCTGAGCTGCGCTGGGGCTAGATACGACTAGCAAGACTGATCAGTTTCAAGGAATCCAGACCAGATGACCTCAAGAGACGATTATTGGTAAATGAAGTTGGTTCAGTGGAGACGCCACTGGCGTGTGCTTGGTGGATTCAGATTGGTATAGAAGGTCCCACTACACATATAACCTGTCACAAGGTTTACCACTCCCAACTTCCAAGTCACAACCGCTGATCGACCAGACATCCCACTTTCAGCCAAGTGGGAGTGGGCACGAGGCGCCCCCTTGGCTGAAATATTTTTCAATTTTCATATGTAGTTTTGTTTGACATGAGTAATCAAACTTCAATGTAAGGGTCTCTCCCGCCTCTTTCTTCAACTTGGTATTTAATATATTAGCCTTTTTCTTCTACACAAATAGTCTTCTTGTGACCAAAGGGTCGCGCTTGCGTCTATTAATGTGCATTAGCTTGGTAAACAGAATGTATTTTTTTGAGGATTTTGTTTGACAGGTGATAGAATCAAAGGTGGTAGTTATCTACTGTATGAAACCTTCAACCAGTATCCTAGATTCACAACCTGGGCTGGTCCGTTCAGATTCTCTTTGGGTTAGAAAACTAAAAAAATTTAATTGAGCGCATAACGTTGAATTTAATAAAACATGAGAAACATTGATCAAGGATGCTGAGATGGTATGAGAAAGCTTTATGGCCACATTAGATCTGACTGCCTTTGAAACTAGGCACAACGTGTTACTATAGAATTAGAGCCAGTTTTCTAGTGCTATACAAGAACGAGTGAGAGACTTGTGACTGACTTTGATGGTATATCTATATGTTTTTTTATATCTATTTAAGATGGAGGTAATACAGATTCAAGAAAAAAATGAACTTAATAAAGGCTGCCTTTGAAACTAGGCACAAGGTGTTAGGAGAAATTGAGAGGTGGTTTTCTAATACTATACAGTCACGAGTAACAGACTTATGATCGATCTTGATAATACAATGAGATAGATGTTTTATAAGATAAATTATCCAAGAAAAGATGATAACCAAAATCTGAGAGATTCAATTTGCATTATTAAGATGAAGGTCAATGAAGAATTAGTGAATCAGTTTTGACCAGTTGATCGATTATGAGGACTCACTTAGTTATGAATTCAAGCCGGTCCAGTAGGGTTTTTTGAGTCGGATTGGCCTTGAAGGGCCTTGAGTTCTTGCGGAAGGGCTTGAACGTTGAAGATGATGCCCTGGCGGCGGTTTGCGCGAGATGAGGTTGGAGGAGGAGGAGCAACTTTGGGGGCCGGCTTCAAGTTGCGGTTTGAAGCACCGTCGCGTGAGGGAGCGCCAACAGGGCAAGTGGGTGAAGTGTCGTAAACGACTCGCATCTTTGCTACTACTAGGATGTGGGACAGAAGAAATCAAGGATGATAAGGAGGTGATCGGCGAAGTTTTGATGGGGGGGGGGGGGGGAGCAGCGAGGGATAAGTATTTATTTACCTTGTTCTAAGAAGCTGGGGCGGGAGGGGGGAAGCCCTGAGGGTAAGATTTATTAGTTGTGGTGCTAAGGGCCTGCCTTCTGAGGGGAGAAAAGAGGCTCTGTCACTGTCTAATTCAGAGAAGGAGAAGGAATGGGATGTTTTAAAGGAAGATCGGGGGAGCTCTTACTTAAGCGCTGCTTGGGTAGAGTGGGGGAGTAGGGAGGATTGGATGAGGGAGGGAGGAGCGAGGGAGGAGCGAGGGAGGAGCGAGGAAGGAGTGAGGAAGGAGTGAGGAAGGAGTGAGGAAGGAGTGAAGATGAAGGAGGATGGAAAAAGTGCTCGACAGTCACACAGTCAGTCTATTTAAGCTCAAAAGCTCCGCGTCCATTGCTGCTACTGCGGCAGCACCTCAATGCTTCCCTTTGTCCTTCCTACCCTCATACGCGGTTGGGGTATATTTGGCTTTCTGCTGAGCTTGCCACGAATTAGAACGTGATCGGAACAATTTGTACGCGCTCATTGTGGACTGTGATTGGCCAGAGGCATTCCAACTCTATTCATGTTTAGCTTTACAGCCTCAGTGCGCGACCGTGATTGTTTTTCCTTTGTTCAAAAAAATTTGAGATCACGGTAGCAGAGAGATGTTAAATTAGCCCGCCGACCAGTATCCTTCAAAGGCACTTGAAACTGCTACATACAAGCCGGACGTTATTTTACTTAACTGTTTCACACTGTTTCACAGATGGACGGTGCATGGTAAGTCAAATCTGGAGACTATCGCCACATTAAGGCTCAATCACTAAAAGGTTCGACTCGAGATGTGTGCTTCTCACGTCGTTGGAGAGGTGGAGAGGCTCAATAGAGTGGATCAGGTGTAGGAGAACGGGGAACGTGCGACATATTGGCAGTCTACAAAGAGTCATCGTTGCAAGTATCTTGTACAAATAACGGTTTACAGATAATAGTTTGCGGATTGAAAAGGTCCCTGTTTCTCGACAACGGATTGCTATCAGAGTTTATTCGGCGGTCTTATTTGTTAGATCTTGACCCAGTAAAGGGCGCACTCCCTGCACATGCCATAAGGGAAATTGTCAGCACACCAGTGTAATAGGTCCTTGAAGAAACGGATTCATATGATTATGGACAAGTCTCCCAGTCATCCAACTGATTACCCATTCCCGGTTTGTGGGTGTTATACCAAAGCACCTCTAGCCAAACGATAAACATTGAACGTGATTTCTCATTTCATCAAGCAAGATCCAACAACTCCTAGATGATTGTATTGATTGTTAAGTCTTGAGTCTATTTTCAAATAATGGTGCATCCTTTGAAGGGTATAACTTTTTCTAAAAAAATAGGCCTTTGCCTTTGAACGCCATTTATTCCGTTATAAGAGCTCTACAGAAAAAAGACTACCAGCTGCGAGCTCGGAGGCGCCAGGGATACTAGCGAGAATCTAGCCTCGCAGCATCGTCTTTAATCGATGGGCTGATGGTTAGAAAATTTCAAGGCCCCAAAACAAATTGAAAAAGAGTCAATTGGCAAAAATGCTTAATTCACGGAATTGAAGTGCAGCCGCTTCTCATTGAAAAACAACTTTATATCTGAGCAGCTTTACTGATGGGCGTGATTGACAAGACAAAATCAGATGACATCAAGGGATCCATCGAAATAAGAAAACCTTCGGATGATCTTTGCGCCATTTTCTTTGATAAATAATCAATTGGGGCAATGTCTCGATCCGTTTCAAGTAAAAGATAAGTGGATAGAATTCCCTATGCTATCTTTTGGTGATGACTTGTGATAGGTTCTGAGCTACGCAGGGGCTAGATACGACTAGCGAGGCTCAACTTCAAGGAATTCAAACCAGACGACCTCAAGAGACGATTATTGGCAAATGAAGTTTGTTCGGTGGTCTGCTTGGTGGGTACAGGAGGTTCCACAACACAGACCTGTCACAGGGTTTACCGTATACCCTCCCAGTCACGACCCTCCAAGACATCCCAGCTTCAGCCAAGTAAACGGCAAGCGCGCCCTCGCCTGACTTGTGTTAGCATCTCTAACGGTCTGGGGGTGGATCGGCTCGCCTTTGGCAGCCTGGAGACGGATGTCCCGAGGTGTCACCGGTCTGTCACAGTTGTCCTAAATGCGGACTGTGAAGTTGAGCGGGGGTGGGTAAAACGCGGCCAAAGCTGCCAAACTCAGCAGCCGAGGGCAGCTTTGGTCCAAACTTAACACAAGTCCCGATTCCCTGCTGTGGGCGGCGTTGGCATGCGAGTGGCCTCGCCACTGTCGCATTGCGCCGACCGCAGGGAGGGACTTGTGCCCAGAGCCCCCCAACTTGTGTGGATCCTGAGAGGCGTTTCTGTGCTTTTTGGTGGTGACAATCTTTGCACCTGTGCCAAAAATTGACCCGTTGAGCCAAATCCTCCGCCAATGCATCAGATTCAAGCTCTACTTCTGCCCTTCTGGGCCACATAGTTTTTACTCTTACTATGCCAAGGTTAAAAGAGATATAAGCAATTAAAAATGTTGGTTTTTGAAAGATCCCTGGCCATACATCTCAACCTAGGAGCATAATTTCTCTTAAGTCCATGCTCGCGTTCCATAATGCATGCTACTCCAAAAAGTACAAACTTCTTAACATTTGCAGTTCAGTCACGGAACAATACTTCTGTACTGGCATATGTGCCAAGTAGTGCATATCATAGCTTATAACAGACCAACTCCGTTAAACATATCCATTGTCCTTTTTTAGCCATCCCACAACAAGAATCTTAGACAAACCATCCTCTTCAATTGTGAATAATTCTTCAAAACTGGGCAATATCCGGTTGATGATGACTTCCAACAATGGCGCATCCGAACTCGATAAGATAGTATACATCAGCAATGAATTGTGTCGATTGAAGCTCACTCCCAAGGAGTTCATTGCGGGTTTTCTCACCAAAGAACACCCACAGCTAGTTTACCGGCGACGCACCTGGGCTACCAAATTTGGATGGACTTCCACTGTGAACTTGGTCCAATCGATAAGGAACTTATTCCTTATGACGCAGGAAGGATCGGACCAATGGGCTGAATACATAGAAGGAGAGGTAAGAGAATGTGTGCCACATGGAAGCTCCGCTGCAATAGGAAACTTCTGACGTTTCTCTCTCATTATGCCCACAGGCGATAAGGATCTCTCGATCACAAAGCCCACCAATTGGCTACTATCCCTGCGGCTCCTTTCAAAGTGCGGTTTCTGTGACCCCTGGGTTCTTCACCGATTTAGCTATGGATCAACGCAAGGATCGATTGACCAACAACGATACCCCATTCCTTTATAATATCCTAGTTGGAACTCTCGCAAGAGCAGGAGCCGAGGTGTTCACACCAGAAGAACTAGATGCTGACCATCCTCAAGACCCATGCCCTTCGCCAACAACCTCTCCTGATGATACGAGTGACACTCACTTGTCTTCCGATGAGTGCGATGAGTTGGCATACAAGGGGTCTGTGTTCTCAACTGCAACCCCAGGAAAGCAAGATAGACAAGCCCGTTCGGCACAAGTTGGTAGTCTTTTTGCTTCTGTGGGGTTACCCTTTTTGGGTACAAGAATTGACACATCTGTTTTGGGCTCTTTCACATTATGCAGACCGCTGCAGTTATCTGCTCAATGATGGCATTTGCGCGCAACAGACGGCAAAATGGACTCCAGCTGGCCAACTCAATCTGTTTTGTTGCTTGTGGAGTCTCAGAAACAATCAATGAGTATTTGCATTACATTGGCTTGACATCTTCTCGTAAGACAGCACTGGTGGCATTACAATCTCTTTCTCGGGCCGCCGCCAACAACATTGTGAACTCGATGTCGGTCATGAATCGTCTGGCCCCATCGCTCTGCATCGACAACCTCGACATGGAGCAGCGGGTACATCTTGCATCGGTTGGGACTCAGAATCGGATGTTTCACGGCACTTGGGGATACATTCATGTCCACTCCAAATCCCTGTTGGATTCTCTGGACCCAGACAAATTGACGCTTGCAGAATATCACATGTCACTCCGCCCACTGGCCGACTGGGTCATAGACCCCAACCTCTTCCTTCCTACGGACAGCACCAATGACTATGCTGATGTCTGGAAAAGTCAGATTGCGACAGTTATGCTCAAGTATGTCGCCACCCCAACCGATCGTAAGGCAATGATCTCAACAGACCCACCAACGGTTGAGCAAGTGAGCTGGGAGGTCCCAGATATACACATGCTGAGGTTGATGGATGAGTCGGACAATTCAGCTGAGGGGATTGGCCAGGTGATGGAGGCCCTACAGCGCCAATCAGGGCTGGAACCGGAGGAGTTCTTTGGGCGGCTGCAGCTGATAAACGGTGACCTAGGGACTGCTCAGCTTTTCAATGCCATCAGGTCTCTCCGAAACCCAAGCGAGCACTGCGAGCACCATCTCAACAATGTCACTTTCAGCCTAGGCGCATCACACACCCTTTGGAACATCTCGCAGGCGATTCTCACAAAACACTTCGGAAATTCAAGTAAGATGGATGATCTTGGGGTTTGGCGATACTTGGATTCCCTAGGGATTCCACCCGAGAAAGTTATTCAAAAGAAAGATTTCTCGAAGATGATTACGGCCTTGACTCATGTACATGAGGCCACCATACAACATTGCCTCCGGTGAGTTACCTTTCATCTCAGTGGAGAAAAATGCATCAGGGTGTGTTGACGTGATCCTGTTGCATGTGCAGTGTTGTAATGGACATCCATGACAAACCGATCAGCGAGGTCCTCCCAGAACTTCCCTCTGAGAGATGGAACAGCATTGTTGAGCAGTGCTATGTTCAATATTGTTCCCCTCAGGCTTGCCAGGCCGCCTCGACCCGTGTATGTCAAAAACTCTCGACTTTACTCATCCGGCTTCAGGATTTTTCAACCGTGGTTGAAGCTAATCGGTCAATGAAGGCGGGGGATGTCGGCCGCTTGATTAACATCTGGAAGATGTGGTCAATCATGACACAATCTCTTCCTGGGCTAACTCATTATTCCGCATATCTCCCCCGCCTGGTACTCATGTTAACAAAGATCCTACCTAACGATTTGGCCAAATTAATGAGGCATGACCTGCTGGTCTCACCAAGTGGCCGCCCCAATCACTTTGTCGCCAAAGATTTCCTCCTGGAGAATCACAACTACTGGCTGAAGTTCTTCTACGTCCGGGCAGGGATTGGGACTCAGATTGATCGACTGAGAAGGCTATTCTCATCAAACATCCCACTGGTACATACAAGTCTTACTATCTACAAAACTGTTTACCAATGACTGACCTGTGCAAAATGGTATGTTCATCTATCCAGCTGCGCACAATGTTCCGATCTTTGCGTCGGGACAGCGGAGGCAGATATGTGCAACAGACACACAAACACATCCTCAACCTCCGATCACTTGAACGTTTCACTCAAATGGCTCAAGATAACGACATACTTGACGATCTGCCACTCAAGAGTCCATTATCGATTCCGATCATGCCAGATACGTATTTGGATGGCATCCAGTGCCTCAAAAAGGAAATCCGAGGTAAGCCAAGCGAATTGGGGAGATTTCTATTGCATTTGCCTTTGTTCTTGGACCAAGACAACATTGAGATCAGTGATGACGAGGAGGATATGATAATTGATGGGATCCGTGCAGACACGCCCACACCCAACGGATATTCATCACCTGAGGAGTCGGATGAAGACGAAGATCAAGCCAATGAAGATGATGAGCAGGTCAATGATGATTCGCAATCCGAAGACGAAGAGATGTCCATGTGAAAATACAAAATCATACCTTACCTAGCGGCCCCAATGATTGCTCTCTACACCTCGCCTCTCGGCTTCCTCCCCAGCCAGTCGGATCAAAATGGCCAAATGGGCCCGCTCCTCCTCCTTCTTTGCAACATCCAATAACCTGTGCGCCTCGTTTCTTTCCCTTTCAAGCCGCTTTTCTTCATCTCTCGCCTCCTTGGCCAGTCGGGCCACCTCATTCTCAATAGCCAGCCGTCGTGATCGTTCCTCATCGCGAATCCTCTTCTTGTCTTGCTTGTTCTGCTTTGATTGCAGCACCCGATCTGCTTGTTCCTTGGCCAGTGGTCCCGCAATGAAATCCCGGATTACTTTGTGAAGGGCCTCCGTCTGCCCCACAATCATTTCACCTCCAATCACCTTCCGGAGCCCGCGAATCCCCTCAAATTTCCCAAACTTCTTTATGATCAATTCCACCTCGGGACTTCCAAAGAGGTCGGCTGCAGTGAACAAGGACCCACAGGGGTACCTCATATCATAAATTTTCCCAAAGCACTCGGTCAGTTGGTTGGACAGGATCGATTGCATCGGCTTGCTCAATTTGATCAACTTGAGTCCGGACCCCGGAACAGCTCCCCCACGTTTCCTCTTATTCACTGATATTGTAGTTTCGGCCTGAGGGGGCCACTCTTGTTTAATCATTTCATCTATGTTGTCTTCTCGTAACTTCTTAATGTTATTCATCAGACCTTGAGCCATATCGGGCTTGCAATTGGAACATAAGCAAGTTTGAAATCCACATTGCACCTCGCGTGCCTTTTCGCGGATATAAGCTGGGTCGTTTACTGATAGTGGTATGTAGCCAACACTAGACAAGAAAGCCAGATCTCAATACAGATGGAAATCATCCAAGAGGCCGTGAGTGAAGCAAATAAAATTAATACACACGCGTTATCAATTGCAAACGCAATTCGCAGGCAGACTGGTGTGATCGCCAAGGCATCCATGCGGTCCTCGTCGTTCTGCCGGTCGCACCCTGCAAAATCATCCACACTGTTCTTTCCCCCGGTCCGCTTAGGTTCAACATAGACAATCGCCAGACCCGGTCGCCCATCCCGACCGGCACGCCCGATCATTTGGCAAATCGCTGAGGGATCCGATCGACCCATCTGGATCACGCACCTCACTCGGGACCAGTTCTGGCCCATTCCCAGTGCCATTGTACATGAAATCACCGGTAACTTCTTGGAAGCAAAGTCTTCCACCAATTTCAGCTTGTCCTTCTCCCCGGTACACGAGTGGAACCTCCGAACGAACGACGAATTAGGACGTGATGAATTCCCTGGCGTACCTCGAGCAAGATCCAAAGCTTTCATCACGTGTTTAGTCCGATTCCGTGTGCCACTGTAGATTAACGTTGGAACAACACAGGAATCTGGAGTCTCAGCCTTAGGCGCAAATATATCCAACAAGTCAGCACATGATGTGATCGATGTCAATATAGGCAATCGTATAATCCTGATCTCTGGGCGAGTGAGTTCACTGCTGACGACTTTCAGATTGTGATCTTCCAACTTAAGGCTTATCTTGATCGCATCGACCGCAGTTGGCCGACAGGTTGCTGACATCAACAGAATTGGCTTCTTATTTCGTGTGAGCAGACGACCGCCGAGTTTGCCATACGAAGGGCGAAAGATCCCGAGGTCCTCCAAACGACCAAGTAGATTCCGTTTGTGCTTTCCACTGCCAGATTCGACAAGCCCCCATTGGTAGATGATATGTGCCTCATCCACTACAACCAACGCAAGCCGGTCCTGAAAATTTGCGCAGAAATACACCTGATCCCAGAGCGCACTGTTTAAGAAAATCTCTGGGCTCAAGTAGACAAAATTGTAAGCACCGTTAACAATCTTGTTTGCTTCTTCTTCATTAAATGTCAATTTAGTCAGGTTGATTGCCGTGAACCCTGCCGAAATCTTCTCCAGGACCTGGTTATCACCCAATGCGTCAAGTGGGTTCAGAACCACTATCACCGCGTTGCTTGGTTTTGGGTGCAGCATATGGTAGATCTCAGGTATTTGCGATTTCCCAAACCCGGTCCCAGCGAGTACAAAAGTGTTTGATCCATTTGCCAAGTGATAAACCGCTTCGATTTGTAAGTCCTTCGCCGGTTGCTCGTAGCGAATCTGGGCCAGTTTCCCAATAGCCGCTTTCAATGCTTGATTCTTCTTCTCAGCAATTTTTGCTAAGAGCTGGATCCGGCCATTCGTTCGGTATGGTGCGCGTATTGCAGGAGTTGCGATATGTCGGAGCATCATGAATGTTGTGGTTCAAACTGACAAAAGCAGTCCGGCGTGCATCACCTTAGCCATCAGTTATGTACACCTCGATCTCAATTGCCTGTTATTTAGTTGTTTGGCATGCGAGGTCAGGAGTCTTATCGATCAATAGCTATTATGTTGTACTGTTATAATACAGATTTATTACTGAAAAAGTCCCTCCCATCTTCCAATACAGCTTCAGTATAAGGAAGATAGGTGATTTCATGTGTATGCAAGACATACTTCATCAGCGATTCTGGCAGCCAATGAACGACTTCCTCGGGACACAGAGGAGTCATCCGTAGCCCAAATAAGACGATTGAGGCTTCTGTGCCTGCGCAAGATGCACACCTTTGTGGGCACCTCCTCAAAATTGCTGTTTGTCTCGGTGGTTATCAAACAAATGGCCCTTTTGTGGAAAAGGGTGGTTTTTTTCGTGTCGGAAGTCCCAGGATCCACGCCAGACTTGCGGCTTTTGGGGCAAGCCTCTCTGTGAGACAGAGACCCTGCGGGGCTGCCCTCCGGGCTCTCACCAGCGAGGCTTGTGTTAGGCTCGGCTTTGGTCCACCCCCGCGATGTTCAGCAGCTCGCTCGGCAGCTCCGCTAGCAACCAAAAGAGCCTCGCGGCCCGCTGCAGTCGGTCCCAGGTCCCGCATCAGCAGGACCGTTGGAGATGCTCTTACATTTGATTTTGATGTTTTTGTTCGACAGGAGTTGATCAAACCTAAGGGTCTCTCCACCCTGTTGGTTCGATTTCCCTTTTTTATTAGCCTTTTTTCTAGTCAAAGAGACTTCTTCTTGCCAAGCCAGTCACACTTGGGTCTCTTGGTGTGCAAAATCCCAGTAAACAGAATGGTAAATTTTCTTCAACAAGATATGTGAGCAAAGGTAGTAGGTATTTAATTAATGAAAGCGTTGACCAGTATGCTTGAGTTACAACCTTGACTTTATGCCACAATTCCAAGTGCTCTTTGAAATGTTGGTTCCATCTGGACCACCAGTCTTTCAAGTCTTATCCATCATGAAAATGGTTTAGAGAGATGCCTGTTTCTCCAATTTCTGGAGAGATTGAAAGGCTCAGCGTCATTCCACTAGCTTCTCAAATTGCGGATTGGCTTAAAATGATTCATTTAAGCAACTTAGTGGGCTCTTTGGAGTGATTTTTCAGTGATCGGTTGTGCGTTTCTCATATCTTATGCTAATTTTATAAATCAGCAAGCTCTATTTACTATTGGAGAGTCTATCCGCATTGTCTTCAGATTTGCAAACCAAGTGATTTTGATTTAGCACGTAAGGCATGAATCCAATTAATCAAGGGACATAGTCATTCAGGAAGCTGTGTTGGATAATGGAGGCTTATGGCTACATGAAGTCTGACTGCCTTTGAAACTAGGCACAAGGTGTTGAGAGGAAAGTAGAGGCAAATTTTTGATGATACAAATTTATTAATACAAATAAACGAGTGAGATACTTGTGATTGAGTTTAATGATACATGGATATACTGTTTTATATTTTATTTAAGATTGTGGGGATTTAGCTTGGAGTAAGACGAAAGAGTACTTGATAAAAGAAGACTGCCTTTGAAACTAGGCACAAGGTGTGAAATCAAGAGGTGGTTTTCTAATACTATACAGATACAATTAAGAGACTTATGATGGATTTTAATTCTACATTGATCTAGGTAGTACAGATTCAAGAGAAAGATAGAAAAGTGTCCGAGCAAAGATGATAACCAAAGGCTGAGAGAGTCAAATTGCATTTTAAAGATGAAGGTCGATGAAGAATTAGTGAATTAGTTTTGGCCAGTTGATCGATTATGAGGACTCACTTAGTTATGAATTCAAGCCGGTCCAGCAGGGTTCTTTGAGTCGGATTGGCCTTGTAGGGCCTTGAGTTCTTGCGGAAGGGCTTGAACGTTGAAGATGATGCCCTGGCGGCGGTTTGCGCGAGATGAGGTTGGAGGAGGAGCAACTTTGGGGGCTGGCTTCAAGTTGCGGTTTGAAGCACCGTCGCGTGAGGGAGCGCCAACAGGGCAAGTGGGTGAAGTGTCGTAAACGACTCGCATCTTTCCTACTACTGGGATGTGGGACAGAAGAAATCAAGGATGATAAGGAGGTGATCGGCGAAGTTTTGATGAGGGGGGAGCAGCGAGGGATAAGTATTTATTTACCTTGCTCTAAGGAGCTGAGGAAGGGAAGGAAGTCGCTAAGAGGAAGGTTTATTGATTGATGCGCTAAGGGCCTGCCTTCTGTGGGGAGAAGAGAAGGGCTGTCACTGTCTAGTTCAGAGGAGGGAAGGAGCGGGATGTTCTACAAAAGGATCGGAGGAATTCTTACTTAGGCGCTGCGTGGGTGGAGTGGAGGAGTAGGGAGGATTGGGTGGGGGAGGGAGGAGTGAAGAAGGAGTGAGGAGTGAGAGTGAGGGAGGATGGAAAAAGAGCTGGAGGATCAAACAGTCGGTCTATTTAAGCTAGACAGCTCCGCGTCCATTGCTGCTACTGCGGCAGCACTTCATTGCTACCCTTTGTCATTCGTGCCCTTGTACGCGGTTATGTTATATTTGCCTCTTTGCTGAGCTTGCCACCGATCAGAACGTGATCGGAACGATTTGTACGCGCTAATTGTGGACTGTAATTGGCCAGAGGCATTTCAACTTTATTCACGTTTAGCTTTACAGCCTCAGTACGCGACCGTGATTGTTTTTCCTTTGTTCAGCAAAAGTTGAGATCACCGACAGTAGGGAGACCTTGAATGAGCCCGTTGACTTGAGGCGTAGAGCAGTGATTGAACACCTTCAAGGGTACTCCGAACACTTTCTGCTATATACAAGTCAGCTGCTGCGTTACTTGTCTGTCTAGCAGATGGTCAGTGGAGGGTGGGACTAATGTATAGATGCCCGCCGACCCAAGGCCCATTCATTACAATTATCTACTGCAGAGGTGTGCTTCGCAAGTCGTTGGAGGAGGTGGAGAGGCTCAGTATAGTGGATCAGTTGTGGGACAATGGGGACTGTGCGACACATTGGCAGTCTAAAAAGAGTCATCCTTGCAAGTATTATCTAGAATGATCTTATTTGTTAGATCTTGCCCCAGTAACGCGCGCACTTCCTGCAAAAGCCACGAGAAGAATGACAACGCCGAATAGTGCTATCAGTTTGATAACTCTGTGACGGAGCAGATTTGTATGAACAAGTCTCCGAGTCAACTAAATGATTGGCAATTCCCGAGTTGTCGGTGTTCATCGCACCGAAACACCTTTAGGCCAACATTCAACACTATTTTCAATCCCTTTAAGCAAAACTTAACAACTCCTGGTGTCATCAGATGATTAGATTGATCGATAACTCTAGGGCCAATCAGCAAGTACTGTTTTGTCTGTTCAAGTGTATCTACAGTGTTCGATGAGGTGTGTTATATGTCTCCGTTTCGATAAGTCAATGCCAACTCGACAGCGTGATTGACCTCCGGAAACAAATTAGTCTACCAGTGAGTCTTCAAGCACCGCAGGCACAAATTAAGAGCTTCTAGGGATTTGAACCCCATTTATTCCGTTATTTGAGCTCATCAAGAAAATGACTCTCAGCTATGAACTCAGGGGGGCAGTAATTCTGCCCAGAATCTAGCCTCACAGAATCTTCTTAAGTCGATGGGTTCATGGTTGGAGATTATTATAGCCTCAAAAAAATGGACCAAGAGTCAATTCAACCAAATGCTTGATTGTCGGAATCGACGTGCAACCGCTATTCATTGAAATACAACTTGATACCTAAGCTGCTTTGCTGGTGGGCGTAATTGACAGTGTAGAATCAGACGGTTCAAAAGGATCTCTTCAAGGGATTTCTCAAAATAAGAAGGCCTTCGGATAACATGTGCGCAATTCTATTGAATAAATTGGTGATGTCTCGATTAATGTATTACAAGTAAATGACCAAGTGGATAGAATTCCACCCCAACCCTATGCTACGTTTTGATAATGCCTTGAGACAGATTCTGAGCTACGCAGAGGCTAGAAACGACTAGCGAGGCTAAGCTTCAAGGGATCCAGGTCAGATGACCCTCAACAGACGATTTGTGCATTGGCAAATGAAGTTGGTTGGTTCAAGTCGAGTCGAAGCAATGCCCTGAAGTGGTGGTGTGCTGTGGTGTGCTGGGTCGAGTACACAGACCTGTCACAGGGTTTACCACTCCCCTGTCACGAGCTCATCCCAATTTCAGCCAAGTCGACTGTCTCGACACATTGACCAGCACCACCAAGCAACAACGACAACTATTTACAAAATCAAAGGAAGACAGAAAATTCATTCGACTGGACATTGGACGGAGCTAACGAATCCACACAGAATGGTCCCAGATAAGCCAGAGTCATCGTCCTCAACGAAAGCACCCCTGCGATCGGGAATCAGTCCGGGACTACATCCAGCACCCTCCTTTGCTTCTTTGCGTCAAGCCAACACCCACAGTCTTGCTTCTCCACTCTCCGCATCAGTCGATAAAACCAGTGCATTTGCAGAGACTGGCGAGGTTCAATCAGGAAGAGCGTTGAGCGTTGGCAGAAGAGCGCGCGACGATTGGATAGTCAATGGTCAAGAAAAAGGTAAGCAGTTTTGTGTCTCCTGGATTGGGTATCATGATTATTTCATTGTGTAGGAATCTGATTTACTGAATGTATTTTTTGTGTTGATCTTAGCTCTGGCATCCGATCCGAAATTTCGTAAATATGCCAGTCTGTTGGAGCGTACTTTACTTTCGATCGACCAAGTCAACGAATGGGCCGATTTCATCACTTTCCTCGCCAAACTCCTCAAAACACTTCAATCCTATCCTCAATACTCTATCATCCCTCACAAGCTAATCGTCGCAAAGAGGTTAAGCCAGTGTCTCAACCCTGCACTGCCTCAGGGTGTTCATCAACGGGCTCTGGACGTCTATGTCTATATTCTTACAACAATCGGCCTGGATGGTCTCAGGCGGGATCTTCAAGTTTGGAGCGCAGGATTATTCCCATTCTTCCAGTACGCTGCTACTGCCGTTCGAGTTGAGTACGAAACTTGCGGCTCGACCTGAATTTTTCAGATGCTTCTTGAATATCTTGAATTGATTCTGACTTGATGTTTATCTCTGTGAAATCCCATGGATTGATTACCAGCCGATTGTCTTGGGACTTTTCGAAAAGTTTTACCTACCACTCAAGGCTGATCTTCGCCCTTCCATCAAAGCTTTTATTTTGGCCCTTTTACCTGGATTGGAGGAGGAAACCGGTGAACACTTTGATCGGGTGTGCTCACTACTCGATCAACTTTCTAGTGCAATCTCACTTTCGTTCTTTCTGCAAAACCTTTGGTTGGTCTTGATCACCGGGCCAGGATATCGAATTCCAGCTATCAACTTCCTCAGCCGTCGCATGCCTCCTCTCAAACCTCAGGAGACGATCGTACCGATTGTCGGCCAGGATGTGGGTCTGATGATCAGGGGGTATTCTGCCGCACTCGAAGATGGAAACATCCTTGTTCAACGTGGTATCTTGGACTTATTACTGTCCAATTTGAAACTAGATAGCTTTGGCTTTTGTTGGTAAGCATCACACCTCCAGGCAAATGTCCACTTACTGTATATTTCAACTAATCATTTTTTATTGACCGGTTCTGTCGTACCACAAAGTGACACTAGACACCGTGACAGATTACTTCTAACCCGAGCTGCTCTGGGTGTTGTTCTCCGGCGGGATCTCTCTCTCAGTCGCCGTCTCTATACTTGGCTCATGGGCCCCCTACCAACTGCTGAAGATAATTCAATCAATCAATCCAAATACTTTGAAGAACATGGATTAGATTTGGTCGTCGAGTCCTTGCGTCAAGATATGATGGCAGACTACGTCAACGCAGTAGTCGAACGCCAAAGACCGTTCAAAGTATTTATAGCTCTACTTGATAAATGGGAAATTGGGGGTCCGTTAAGCAGAGCTCTCGCGTTGGACGCTTTTAGGGCCTTGCAGGTAGTACTGAAACCTGAAGATACACAAGATGAAGTTAGTCGATCAACTCAACTCTAGCCCGTGCCCCCTCCACTTTGCTCATGAATCAATCAACTAATTATTCCATTGTACTTTCATCAGCTATTACTAACTGCAAACATGATGTTTGATTCACTGGATCCATTCACAACCTGGAAAAGCATCTTTGAATCTATCTCACAATACGCTGATCCAACTAAAGAATCTGACAACGTACGCCTTCCCCATCTTACCCGTCATTAGCAGGACATGATTCTGAAATTTTGACTTCTCTAGTGCTTAGCTTTAATTAAGTTTATTCTGGGGACCTTCAGATTGCACGACGAAGAACTTTTGCGGGTTCATATCCCATTGCTGGCTACTGCATTGGTTTGCATTGTAGATCAATCTAGCCATGCTTATCCTGATTTCTCACTTATACGCTCACAAGAAATCCTAGAAGTAGCGACAACTTTGTTCCAAGACCTTCCCAACAACTTCTTTGACTTGGATAATCCATCTGCGAGCCCGCCGATGAGCCACTTATCTGGTTTAGACCTTGCTCGACGATTTTATTCTGCTGACAGTCTCAAGCTGGTGAACCCCGAGGACATGTCCCGTCTGCGAAATTCCAATCTATGCTCTAGTACTTTTGCGGCTCTCCTACGAGTGATCGGGCGGTTTGCCGCCGGAGAAGCCACACCTGCCAACTATCAGGTTCTGAGTGCTTCTCTTACATGTTTAGATACAATGATTAATTCTCTTCCAACGTCACTCGATCAAATTACTGTCGACTGGACTCCGTTGTCATTTACTGAATCGTTACTCTCGCAATTGAGAAAAGTTGACCTTAATGTGAGTATTCGCTTTGACTTGATTTTACATTGCGCAAGTTGATTCCAATCTATTCATGAAGGCTGCAGGGTTTGCGCTATTTGAAAAATCAGTAAAAGTGATGTTGGGTTTAGCCGGTCCGAGTCGCATTCAGCCCCCTTTGATTCTCGATGATCAAAATCTGTTGTCGACCCTAGTTGTTAAGGTGCATAACATTCCTAAGATTCATATTGCATCACTAAAACTTAGATCATCGAGCGGAAGGATAATCCAGACTGACAATCGGGTTTGCTTACTTGCTTCTCAGCTTCTTGACTTCCTCGAAGGCCATACTGCCCCGTTCTTTCTCCAAGCCGTGAAATTAATCTGGGAGTTACAAAAGAGTTCTCAATTCCGACACGTCGAAACCATCATTTCCTCCCGTCTCACGTCTGAAGACCCGCGCGTTAGGGTGTCCGCTTTTGAAGCTTTTGGCAACCTATGGAGACACACTGGTAATGATTATACCCCTTTTACCGTATGCTGGTTCTATGTGTGATGGCCCTTGATTGACCTGGCTTCAACTTGCTTCATTCTAAGAGGATGTCCAGCTACCTGGCAACTGTCTGCGAATTCCTATGCTTCTAGTTCTGGATAGCTTGAAGAGTAACGATTTGACCAATCGCCGTTGCGGAGAAGCCTGGATGCGATGTAGCTTGAAATCATATCTACGGTAAAAGGACTGTCTTTACTGTTGGCATGGATTAACCAAAGCTAAAATTGTTTTCTTTCTCAGCGTCCTCGACCCTCTTTTTCGAATCTTGCTTTCAACCGAAATCCAGCGAAAGCCATCGAAACAACAACTCGGTGACCATTCGACCTCAATCTATCATTACATCTATCCGTTTGATCAGGCCATTGTCCATCATACCTTGGAGTGCGTTCTAACGTTGGCGCGTTTCGGAGGACAAGGCTTCACTCGGATAGCAAAAACTTGTTACATGAAACACTCTCATGATCCATTAGTCCGACAACTCTTACCCGCAGGTATTTCAAAATCTGCTCCCTTTGAACTTTGTCCCTTGGCTAATTGTATTTACCTTGTTAGCGGGTTTGGAGTCAGCTTCTTACCTGGATGCTCTCATCAAGATAATGCTAATGTGAGTCCTAGGACGCTTCTCTCAACTTACATGGTGGCTAATCCTTTCGAATTCTGCACCAGGTTTATTAACAGTGATCCGCATCCGAAGCTCACCTTGGCCATGACATCTCATAATCAACAGATACATGCAACCACTGCTGACTTGCTACAAATGTTGGTATCTCGCGGCGACATTCCTCCAGCTGATCTTGGATTGATTGAGGAAACTCTGAGCTTTCGCTTACTGTTGTTAATCCGGAATCGCGATTACAACCTACAAAATAAGCTTTTACACGCTCTTCATGCAACCATAAGCGTTGTCACATCAACACCACAATCCCGTCACAGTATCTCTCCAGACGCAACGACATCTAAAGACAAGCCAGAAAGCGAGAATCCAACCGTAAACCAACTGTTTACCATCCTTGTTGGAGATGGAATCACCACTCAAGCAAATACGGCAATCGTTCATCATTGGATAGATTTTCTTTTAATGACTGTCCCACAAATCAGGCGATCACTTGATGAGGTCGTCAAACCACTAATCGATCGACTTGTTCACCGATTGCGCCTGTTGGTATTGGAACTGGAAAAGACCTATCAAATGAATGTAGAACACAATTTGGAATCCGATTTTACCGATTCTGACTTTTCCGTATTTGTAAACGCCTTGGAACGCTTGATGGTTGTTTCGATTGAGGGTGAAGGAGGGTCTGCGGGCACGACAGAGGCTAGTGTCGGCAAAAGCGCTAATGAGCGGCCGCTGCCCTCAGAATCAGCTGGTGGTTTATTCGCTGGGGTTTTTAACGTTTTGGGCTCATCTGAGATATCTACCAACTTACCTCAAGAACGGGTTCGTTTTGTAACACCTTGTATCCACTCTTATCAAATTATGAAGCGCTCATCAATGAACGATTTTTACATGGCAGCCAAAAACAGAATTCCAGCTCCGATTGGGAAATGTGGTCTGGATCCTGATGAAAGCTTGGGACGTCTCGCTGCAAATCGGCGACGAAAAAGAACCTGAATCCTCCAACTCGAAGCTCTACTTCTCTGTCCGGATAAAGCTACGAGCGCGTAAAGCGTTTGAGCGTCTCTACAAGGCAGTCCCAAATGATGTCATCGTCGCTATTGTTGACTATTGGCACTCGGAGGTTGAGTCAAAATCAGTTGAGTTACCTCTTTACTAATCTTCAATCCTTCGCGCCTCACTACAATATTGATGCCTGTTCGTGGCCATGTCCAGCCCAATTTGAGTGAAGATAACATGTTTTTGTTGCTAGATCACCTTGCTCCAAGTGCTCAAACAATAGTGTCTATGTTGTATGAGAGACTCGCCTCCTATGGACATTTAGCTGGAACGGACAAAGGGCGAGCAACTGCTTCAACATGTTTCCTGTGAGTGCCATTTTTCTTCTATCATTAAGTCGTACCGTTTTTACTGATGAGGTGCATCGCCATAGATCGGAAAATGTCTTGTTCAGCTTTCTAGAATCATACATCTCAAGATTGGAAGGCCCAATCGCAGTTCAGATGTGGAACTCATCTTGGAGCTTTGCCCGCGATGTGTTGGCAAATTCAACTGTCAACAAAAACCAGTTGTTTCCAACGCTCAAGTACATCTGCTGCCTTTCTCCCCAGAAACCATTTGGTGCATTTGAATTAACTTTGCTTGTTATCGCAGGTGCTTCACCATTCTGGCTGAAAAAATCAGTCAGACCAGTGCATTGGAGGACAGGCGGATGAGACGCGACCTCCAAGTATGTTGCCCTCATTGTGATCCCTGTGTTATCTGTAACAAAATTGATTTTTACTCATGATTTGTCATGTCTCACAGGATACATTTGTGAAGTTGTGTGATGCTGTCATTCAGACAGCAGGCAAGCACCTAGATCAGATGAAAGGCAAGCCAGACTACAACGGTTAGTCTGCTCTTTTTCAACAAGTTTAATCCAAAATGCCTCTAACTTGAATATGCTCGTCTGATAACCAAGGTGACCACCCGACGGTATCAGTAGAAAAGGAACCACCGGCTTCTCCCCTTGTGGCATCAACCACTCTAACGGATCAAACAAAAACTGGCGATTCCGACAAACCGGTAACAGGGGCTGAAGTACGTAGGACCACATTTTACCGCCTGTCGAAAAGTTCCAGGTGACAGAAACACGTTCGGCTCCTCTAATTTTTTTAAAATTTTTCTTTAGGCCGCCTTGTTTCTATCGGAAAAAGCGCTACCTAGCTGTCGCCGGTTCCTGATTGAATCAGATAGACTTCAAGCTGTTTGTACCAACATCATGTATTATCTTGTTACCCCAGCGTTTAAGGCACGGATTCGGTTAGTATTCCATCTTTTCTGCTTTTCTTTTTCTCAATTGATCCTTGTTTGTGCATACTTATTTATTTGTTTTGTTGATGATCGCGATATACTTCTTACATTAGTTCCCCAGAGCTAGATGTGACTATTCTAAGTTTGCTGGTCGAAATGACAAAGCATCCGGCGGCGAACAGAGCCTGGCGCACCTATGTAGTTGATAGTCTATCTGATACTAAATTCTTTAGTAATTCACCTGAACTTGGTCGGCGCTGGAGACCAATCATTCAGGCTCTATTCAACACCGACAAAGAAAGATTCACGGAGATGTTGAGCAGGTTGTCAACCGTACCATCTGCAAACATTTTCACCAACAAGGAAGCCGAGATGATCACCCGATCAATGAGTCTTCGAAGAATCACCTATGCTATCTATGCCGCTGAATACAACCGGTTCCTGGTTCATTTACCTAGTATCCAGGAAAAAGTCGTCGATCTATTGCGCTCAAGCGTTGGTGAGATCGTACATGCTGAGGTGCGTCAGGTCGTTTTCCAATCGGACGTTAACACATACTTTAGTTGGAGGCTCATCTGACTAGCTACCACTTCATCTTTTTAGGTTTACATTTGTATGCGGGTTTTGCTTTGTAGGATTGCAAACCAGCATCTGGGAAGCTTTTGGCCTGTGATTCTTACTGAGCTGGTTGGTCTCTTCTCGTTTAGATGAATATCTATCGCTGCCAGTAATAACTATGTTTAAGATGTAGTCAAGTATATTGGCCCTATCAGTGCTTGGCTGAGTGGATACCAGCAGCCTGACAATTGATTGGACTGAGATGTCTAAACAGTTATTACTGGTAGTCTATTTTCAAGATCCTTTTTTTGTTGATTGAAAAAACATTGAATGTTCTATCCACAGACCCGATTTTTCGAGGGACTCATCGAGAATGTTCCAGACAGTCCAAACGTGTTGGCGCTCGCATTATCGGCTTCGAAATTTTTAGATTTGCTGTTGGTTTTACAAACTGAGGATTTCCAAATGTCAGAGCGAGATTTCGGATTATTTTTCCCTTTATCTTTTAATTGCTCACCAAAACTCCCTGGACGCTGAAAGACTGACTCTTCTTGTCCATGACTATCGTCTACTCTTGTTTCGTAGCCATCAATGGATGTTCATCACTGATACTATTGACGCGATGTATCCGCCTGATTCTTGGTTCCCGCATGCAATCATTGATCGGATTGCGGAAACTTTACGAGAAACCTTAGCCAATCAACTGACTGATGGTAGAAGGGACTCGCCGTCACCTCCTCCGCTCTCATCCCCTCACATCCCTCGATTGATGACACCCAGTCTATCACGAAACTCCTCCTTCAGTTTCAGGCCTCCTAACACACTCCGAGATTTCATTCACCCACAGCATGGCTCTCAGAGCGCGACGATCGGCCGGAAACCACTATTGAACAAAATCAAAAAGATCGAAAACATTCGACCACTCGAACGGTTTTTCTCCAAGATCAGCATGATGAATTATGAGGCTTGTTATGCTGGCGGTGGTATTGATTGGGAATCGGTTGAATTTGATCTCGAATGTGATTTGTTTGACGGAAAAGATCACATTTTGACTTAAGAATGTCATCCTTTTGTCCCACTTCATCACTGTTTTCTTCCTCTCGCAACTTGCACATAAGTGATTTTCGGTTTTCTTGACGGCTCATCGATTCTGTCATCAAAAGTTTACATACCATCACCCTTGTTCAATTCTATGATTTCATTTCCATTTCATGTCCTTCGGTAAGTGTTTAACATCTCATCATGTTATTAGACTTTCAATCATTCCTTGCGATCTGTTATTCTGACTTTTGTCATTTTTCATAACTTGGTTCTCCTCCAAACACCATAAAATCCTTGTCCATATATCTCATCATTCCGCAATATTTCCTACCACTATGGCTCATAGATTTTGTACCCTTGTAGAATTCTTTCACATATTCCATTTTTTTTATTATGATAACATGAACTGTGCAGAGATATTATCAATCAAAACTTGCTTCACTATTACCGCATACTTTTCATTTATTTCAGCGGCAATTGAAGTTCATACGTAACGTCGAGCATGGTTACAAGGAGGTTAAAATGAGAAAACAAATGACAACAAACAGAGAGACTTCAAACTGCAACAAACAACAAACAGCACTCATAGCCCAAAAATTAAATCAAAGTGGGAGAGAGTATGCCACCATGGCGGGAAATGTGTGAAACACTGGATGGAAACCAGGACTAACCCAGAAAAGCAAGAGGAAACAGGAGAAAACAAGATGGACCTAGAGAGAGACAACAGGAAACTAGAGAAAACAAGCAAAAAAAAAAACTAGAGGAACACCAGAGAAACCCAAAAAAAAGGACAACCAAGAGCAGAGCCAGAGCATCACAGTAGAAACTAGTTTTTATGTATAATGACAAGTAGTGTGACATTCATGCTTTACAACAGATCTTCTGGAAATCTTACATTCGGACTACTGTCAGTGTAGACAAACAAAAAATCTATCGAGGGTGATCCTGCAAGGTTGTCAAAAGGATCCTATTTCCCAGGATGTATGGATATCTTCAAATGAGCTGGTGATAAGCTTTTCACCTTTTCTTTGACAAGCTTCTGACACATTTCCCAGAATTTTTTTGCAAGATCTCGGTCTTGCGCAAGCTTTGAGGGTTTTGCTGCCACCCCAAATGGGCAAAAATATGCAGACCTATGCCAAAATAAAATCCTGTCAATTTTCAATCTTGTGTAATGGAGTGGACCCATATTTCTTCATCTTTGTAGTTAAAAAAAAAAAAAAAAAAAAAAAAAAAAAAAACTGAAATCAGGTCCCACCTCAGACCTTTCTCCTCTACCTCAAGGGCTGTGGCAGCATATAATGAAGTGATTGCTCCATCCTTTGGTGTCAGCAAAGTCCGACTAGTCAACCACTAAAATACAGGATAGCGATGTCAGCAGGTTGTTTGGGATATTATTGCATTGACAATGGGGCTACTACTTACACCTAAATTCTTTAAGATGGGATAGTTCTTCACCGAGATACCTATATTTGGATCATCATAATTATAGTATCAAGCATTGATTGATCCCCTGTCAATGAAATGTTTGTGCAAAGCCTACCTGCAATCATTTTAGTATTCACTCCACCAGGATACTTTCAATTTGAATGTTGGGAATCAATGAGCATTATTGTATTATTTTAGGAGGGGTAATTTGTTCAGTGAAAAAGACTTACAGTGGATGCACAAATGACATTTGTGTTGCTTAACCTTCTTTGCAACTCATTTGTAAACAGAATGTTCTGTGGAGATGATGCAGACGTCATAGGCGCGCAGTCGTTGGTAGTTAGTTTTTACTTGCAGATCAGACGTAGGTAAATGTGATCTTCTACTAGTCAATAAAAGAAACTTACCATCAACTTACTTAAACCATACCTATCTATTGGACAATAAGAGTGCTTGTTTAAGTTTTCCACCGATGAGAAATCTGGGGTGCCCAATACCCAAGAGTGCGCAACACTGGAAACATTGACAATTCGCACGTGCGACTCGGGATCTTTCGACGTCTTTTTAAGCAAGTCGAGCAATGGTATTGTGAATGCAAAGTGACCGATAGCATTGCAAAGCTGGAGCTCAATGCCATCTTCGCTCAATTCATATGGTTTAAAAGCCTGGATGAAATGTAACGGTATTGGAAATCAGTTCAGTGAGCAAGATGAAAGGCTCGTGTGCGCCTTGACTCTGAGGGTGGTCTAATAGCTTCAGATGAAAAACAGACTATTGCAGCGTTGTTGACCAGGATATCGAGCCTCTCTTCTGACTTGATGAACTCTTGAGCTGCCGAATGAGCAGAGTTGAGTGAGGTGATGTCCAATTTCAAAAACCGAAGGTCTGAGCCTGGCACAATTGCCCTGATCTTGTTGATTGCCTCCTCGGCGAGCCCAGGGTTTCTACAAGCTAAGCTGTTGACCCAAACTCTGTCCGTCAGACTTCCTTTGGGCATGGCTAGCTCTGGGATGTTTTGGATTAACGATCTTACTAGGTTTTTGCGCCATGGCGAGCAAGTTCCAGAGCAGTAAAGTAGCCTATACCGCTATTTGCACCTGTGATAGATTACAAGAGCCATTCTGTCAATGATTCTATTTAATGCCTCTCTGGCCAGCCTTCCATCAGACCATGAGCTTTGTCGATTCCCAAAAGAGTGCTTCACCTGTGACAATGGCGACCCGGCCTGTGGATAAACAAGAGGAGGATAGGCACTAATTGGTATCAAAACATCACATAGGAATAGATTAGGACAATCCGGTAAAACATGGTGGATTGACCCTCGAGATTTGGGATTTTATTGGTCGTCCAACCCATTCCCTCGGAAGATCCGAACATCTTGAGTGCAACAAAAGAGCTATCAAAGTCTTCTGAACCGATCACAAGAGTATCAAATATAAAGAAAGCCGGCATTAGTGTGCCGGAATGCAGTGCTAAAGGGAAAATAAAAACATCTCTGCACCTGCGTCCGCATGTTTTCCTATACCATTTGGAAATGGAGGAATGCTTTGTGTTGCTTGGAAGAAGCATAGAGCCACTAAGACTATTTGGTAATACTCTATGAAAATAGACATTGAAGACCGCATGAAATGGGATTTCTAAACAAGGCAAATAAAAAATAAAAAATAACTGGGCTATTTACGAGGGGCCTCTTGAGTTTCCGGATGATGGGAAGAATTGCACCCATGGAATCTTTATAGACACAATCTTGCAAACGGTCACACTAGAAGTTGAGGCATGTATGACCAAAGAATGCTCTGATATTTTCTCAGACAGTCAAAGACACAGTACATCATCATATCTGTCTTATAAACAACTACAATTTTCGGTACAGCTTCCAGCCGTCGTCTGTCCGACTCCGACCCACCCTCACCTCGTTAAAACAATGCAGAAAACAACGGCTATGGCTCGGGAGTGTTGAGCTTACCGGCTCAAATTCTGGAAGGTAAGAGAAGTGAACAGGGAGAAATTCCAACAAGTTGACCTTGGAGGAGCACAGCAAGTCATTATGTACTCAGACTCCATGAAGTTTCATTTTATAAGCGGGGAACTCCTGAAGTGAATAAGGCACAGTTGGTACAGTTGTGGGCACCCTATTACTCATCAAAATCTTGCAAGTAAAAGGCTACCTGATGTCTGAAGACATGAAACTAAGATAAGCAAGATAACATATGTTTAGTAAGGGAAACATGATTCGGTTGACAGGAGGCATTAAAAGAACTAGTAATAGGTACCTGGTAAACAGACAATGAGTGACAGGGGATGTATGACCATACACGGCGGGAGCGATCGGTGACGATCCAATGTGTCGGCCCGTCGTGTGAGTCAAATATCAGGCTAGCCGACGGACCAACACAGCATCCCGACTGGCAAGGTCGGGTCCTCGTCATGCGGCCCATAAGTTGACTGACACAGTCGGCTGTACAGTCAAGAGAAGGGCGGAATTACAGGCCGTTGACCGACATGGTCATCAATTAGTAATTCCCGTCCCTCAACTGGTATAGCAGAGGTCTTTTTTGGTGAGCCGTCCAACCGGCCGCTGCCATGCTTGAAAGCTGCTTGAGCTCCGTTTGTACCGTACCACATTGGTCAACTTGCAGGTACACCTTGGTCTTCCAACCCCAGTAAGCCATATTTGACCATTGTTTTGCCAATGATCCGAATCCGATGATGTGAGACAGACATGATCATCGAGTGACGTCATTTTTAGATTTTCCCCAACTCATCACTTGACGTTCTCAATTTCTTAAGACCTTCTTTGCCTGCACATGTTCGCTATCTCTCCTCTTCTTATTGCTCCCCTCACCCTCCCATCCTCGCTATCCTTCCACAGTCAAAAGAGCTGAACCTGAAGCGCAAGTTAGAATCACACACCCTCCCCACTTCCTTTCCAACACCAATTCACTAGAACCCACTAGATCCTCTGAGTCTCCTCCCTCTCTCTCATGATATCTGGAAACATGATCGCAGTCCTGCCAAGAACCTGCTTTCCAGCCATTCTATCCCGCTGCTTACTGATTGTTTACTTTCTCAGATTATGTAGAAGCTGATCAAATCGGGTACGCTCAACAATGCTTTCTTGGACAAATGTGAGCTCGGTTACTTCCAAGAAGTCTTGATCATCGACTCTCTTTGAATTTCACAATACTGAACCCATTCATAAGTGAGCTTCACAATATCGTTTTCAAATTTTGACCTGTGCTCTGAGATCTTTGCTCTATTACTGGTGATTGATGTGTTGAATCAAGTGATGTGGATGTCCGATTGTATCTCTATTCATATTGTCATTTAAGCCTAGTGTCATCGTCATCTGCTACATTTATCATGCAAATGTATACACAAATAATTCACATTTTTGCATTGAAATGACCCAGAACCTGCTCATTTGTGAGCCAGAAAAGCATTAATAGAGCAGCGCAATGAACGGTGACCCATCCGTGGTGTGAGGGTCGAGGATTGGACAACGGGTGCATTGGTCCCGATGACCATTAGCAATCAGTCATCTATTTAAGTTATGGCATTGGCCATTTGGGCTCAAGGTCGGTGGAGCTGCCGGCAATGTGACGGTGAGGGTCGTCAGGCCCAATGACATGCCCTCTGTTGGGCGTCAACAGCCCCTGTTGACAAGCCGTCATGCTTGCTAGATAGCGACCTGTCTCCGGGGGCTCGGGTCAGTCGTCGTCATCCTTCGCGGGGTCGAACGAAGTACCAGGGACAGCACACTCGTCGAACTCCCCTCGTCGAGCTGCTCCGGCTGTGTAAAAAGACGAATGGGGGACTCTGAGAATGATAGGGCATTAGTTATCAGAGAATGGTATAAGCGGAAAGACACCGGTTGAAATTCTGATAAGATAAGCTTCAAGCTCATATCAATGCTGTTGTCTGCAGTGATTACCGAAGTCAAGACTTGTCATTCCTGACAGACTCGTCACTGCGACTGTTTTTTTTTTTTTTTTTTCAGCTTCATCAATTGCCCTGATCTGTTCATGTGCTAGACATATCGCAGAACGAATTCACTTGTCATCTGATTCCTCATGACTGACTTGAGTTTTTTTAAGCCGTCATTTGTGGCCGATCGATCTCTGCGTCACTACCTATCACTACTGTTCTTGATCACAAGTGCCATTCAAAAGAACCCGACAATCTGTTTTCGCAGTTAGATCTTTTGGTACTAGCGCGTATTTCGATTTTCCTGAAATGAGTTTTCGGAACATTTTTTTTGGGATGATCTGATAGACCGATACCCCGGATTTAAAGAAATCTATGTCTATCTGATTGCTCGCCAGCACAATGTAATGGCTCCGGTACAAGGTGCTTTTTTTGTTTCCTGATCTCTTTGAAGTAAACATGCTTGAGACTGAGGACATCTTGGTGATCTTGGTTTTGCCGAAACCCGTATAAGTCAAAACAAATGCGTCTTTCCCTTTGACCATGGGACCCACCGCGTCGGTATGATTTGAAGGGATTTAGGCTGATCTGGTACATGGATTACTTGACCCTTCTCTTTTATTCTTTTTTATCGGATTTTGGGTTCAACCTCGCAGAGGGTTTGTTCGGATAAACGGAGGAGACACTATGGCGAAGTCGTTTCTTGAATTGCGATCTTCTCTTCTGTTCTGACCTAGGTGGACGGACTGGCCGTGAAGAACAACAATCAACAGATATGAATTGGTTGGATGAAAGATGCTGCTGTAGCTGGATGCACGCGTAGGAGTCCCAGAGGCATGAACCATTGACATTGAAAGAAATAGATCAAAAAGAACCCACTTTTTGTCACACAGAAGTGTGCTCACTTTTATTGAGAAAACGGGAAGTCTATTAACGGAGCACATATCTTCAAACTCAGCACATGAAGTCTCCTCCAAAGATCCGAAGAGGTTGCACGAACAAGCCACGCGTTGCGCTCAGGCATGAGTCATGTCCTGATAAGGCCAAACACAATAAATTTAACCAAGCTAGAAAAAAGTGTTAAGAAGGGTGCATCGAGGAACGGAGGAGCACCCGGCCGGCAAACGGGTCTGGCCGGGAATTGAACCCGGGACCTCACCCAAATTGCTCAGAAAGCCCTAAGGGTGAATCATACTACTAGACCACCAAACCGATGCCGATCGCTCCGGCAGATAAGAATATGATCGCATTGTGACATCATTCGCGCAGTCACTGCGGTCTCTACCGGATACCCCTGACTCCCGGATAGGCCGCTATTTGTCGTGTTCGGAGGGTATTATTGAGCGGTTTCTTTGACGAGATCAACGTGAATCCTGAGCAGTCTCCCAGGTTTTCTCCTTTCGTGAAGTCCTCCCAAGCGGAACCGGATCATTTCTATTTCGACGGATAGGTCATGTAGCCTCAGGCAACCTATCTAGCAGACTCCAGCTTGAAACTTTCTTCCATGGGACTCATTGAGAGCCCCAATCAGCCAGCCCAGCAGTCTTGTGTGACAGGTTGATACTATCCTTGCTAGTGCTTTGACTTGAGACTTTTCATTTCATTTTTCGAGTGTTTGAATGCACAAGACATAAAACAAACTGATCGTTAAATGGAACTTATGTATCATATCTATGTTCTGCTTTCAAGCGCTCTGTATATACATGCAAACATGGACATGAAGCTCCTTTGATTATCCATTTTGTCGCAGAGAATTGAAAGAATTTTAAACAAATTGAGATTGAGCCCTCATTGTCAAGCACACCAAAAAAAGTGCTCTTAATTCGAACTTGATGCATGGTCATACAAACAATGATAACAAAAGGAAACTTTCAAAAAATGACCGGAGGGCACACACATTTTGGACAGCTCAGGTGTAGATCATAATGAGAAGAGACCTCCACAGGATAACTTCAAGTTTTGGGCTTCGAAATTTATGTAGATAGAGGTTTGAGCGATCTAGTGTTCCTTCACCTTCTCTTTGACGAGTGCCTCACAAAAGTTCCAAAATTGATTTCCAAGAATTCCTTCCGGGTCTTGGGCAAGCTTGGAGGTTCTTGACATCTTCGCATACGGGCAAAGATAAGCAAATCTACAAGTGACATCCCGTCAATTAACAACAAATACTTTATCTAACTGAAAAGTGGAGATTTCGAATGTAAATTGAATGAAAGTAACCCTCACCTCAAATCTTTAGCCTCAACTTCCGGGTCTGTGGCAGCGTATAGTAACGTGATGGCTCCCTGCTCCGGCGTCAACAAAACCCAGCTTTTGAGCCACTGAAAAACCCATAACATGAGATCACGTCAGTCTCGGAAAACTGAACATATAATCACATCGGCGCTGTAGCTCACATCAACGATTTTCAAGATTGGGTATCGCTCCGACCAGTAGGCTGTGTATTAAACATATAAAATGAGTCAACTGCAAAGCAGACTTCAATACAAGGTAAATAATTTTACCTGTTACAATATTAGTGTCTACTCCGCCAGGATGCTTGAAAAATCGAATGTAGGGAGTCCTTTAGCACCAAGGGATTGATGTATTAGATTCAAGTTAAGCAGAAAAAAGGTCGTACCGTCGATGTACATATGATTTTTGTGTGACTGAGCCTTTTTTGCAACTCTTTTGTAAAAAAGATGTTCTTTTCAAGTTGAACAGGTTGGGACACCCAATTTTTGACAGTCAGTTTTACGCTTTTGAAACAGAGTTTGAACAGGAAAGGTCGATATTTTTTGTATATGATGTAATATGATGGGAAAAACTGACCATTAACTTGCTTAAACCATACCTGTCTATCACCCCGTAAGAGTGCTCATTCACACTTTTCAACGATGAGAAATCTGGGGTACTCCACACCCAAAAGTGGGCATTACTGGAGACATTAACGACTCGGACGTGCGAACCAGGTTCTTGCGACGTCTTTTCAAGTATGTTCAACAATGGGATCGTGAATGCAAAGTGACCGGTGGCATTGCAGATTTGGCGCTCAATGCCATCTTCGCTCAATTGATATGGCGTAAAGGCCTACAAAATTGGCAGCAAAAAACAAACATCAGAGGACCTCATATCAGCAAGATAAATAAATTCTAGACACCTAATTTGACTGATGCTTGTAGATAATAAGAAACTACAAATCGACTTAAACTATTCCAGCATTGTTAACCAGGATATCGAGTCTTTTTTCTAACTTGAGGAACTCTTTCGCTGCTGAATGGGCAGAGTTGAGTGACGTGATGTCCAACTGTAAAAACTGAGGGTCTGAGCCTGGCACAATCGCCTTGATCTTCTCGATCGCAGTTTTAGCTCTGGAAGCGTTTCTACAAGCCAGACTTTGGACCAGAAATCGGTTGATCAGAAATTTCCCCCGGAGTACAAGTTTAAGTAGGATGTAAAAGATACTTCGAGTGGAGTAGTGTGCTTACTAGGTCTTCGCGCCGTGGCGAACGAGTTCCACTGCAGTGACGTAGCCTATGCCGCTATTAGCGCCTGTGAAGGATTCAAAGAAACAGGTGGTCAATTCCCCCGATCGAATGCCTACCGCGGACCCTGGAAAGCGGCAACTATAGGCCAATTTCTAAAAAAGTAAACATTACCTGTCACAATGGCTACTCGACCTGAATGGCGAAGCAAACGAAGATGATGGTGAGTCCTGCTAGGTATCGTAGTACAAACGTCTACGAAATTATACCATGAAATCAAACACAAAAACGTTCAACTCACCATGTAGATCTGGGATCTGGTCGGCCGTCCAGCGAGGTTGCTCAAAATACCCAAACATCACGAGTGCAATCTGAAGAGTTCTCAAGATTTCGAGTCCGAGATACAATCGTAATGGATGCTGTTACATAAAAGTACTGAAGATTATGATGTGTGTACTGCATTTCAACTGGAGTGTATGCATCGCTTCCATTAACACCGATATCCGACCGTGTTCCCTCGGTTTGGTGTTATCGTTCGGCAGGCTCCTTAATGTCCGAGGGAATTCAACATACGGCTTTCACCTCGGGCAAATCCACCCACACACTCACATGGGCCCAAGCGCTTGACGTGGTCACTAGAAATGCTTCTTACATATTACATGTTCTGAAACACCTCAATGAACGCAGACACATCACAATTGGGATTTAATGTCCGGGGAGTAGGCATTCCTCAAGGACGTCACTGGAGTGGCCAGAAAGCTCACTGAGGATTTCCGGCAAGCTTGCAGGGAACCCTGCTACCATGTGCAACACCTTTGATAGGGTTTCCAGTTCTCTGAAGCCCTGAAAAAAGGAAGAGAGAAGAGAGTTTGATTCTGAGAAATAAATAAGTGGGTGTCGATGACAGAGAACCCCCAGCTTGTGGGTTTCATAAGATCTTTACACATCAACATGAAGCTGTCTCTCATGTTTCTGATGAATGTGATATTTTATGAAAATTCTGACATCAGCATCAGCACCAAAGTGAAGTTAAAGTTCCCAATGTGCACCACCCTGATGTCAAGACCATATTGGGCAAGGGGGATTTTTGTGTCGAACAAGGGCTTGTTTAATTATGATCTTCTTCTTTGAAAAGAGAGGAAAACCATCCCATAGATTTCTACAGAGGGTTTTCTTTCCTTTTTCAACAGGAAGTCAACTTTTCTAATTGTAAAAATCTCAGACATCGAAAAAAATAAGGAACATCTTTGGAATAAAACCCAATCAAAAAGGTGTTACATATATGTGATCTTATTTATGTATAGAGTAAGGACCTTGACTAAACAACTCCCAAAATCAGTGGCTGTCAAAATGACTGCCTTGCAATGATCATGAGACTTGATCACCAGTCCCTGGATATTAGGGATTTCTGCTTCCTGCCAGTGGTGGGCCCCTACCCCTATTTTCAGAATTCTGTAGCAAAGCAGCATTCTTTTGGCACAATGCAAATTTCTGCTGCACTGTGCTACATTGTCATACATCAACTACATGCCATGACCCCTAACTTAACCAAGTACCTCCCTCCTACTGCAGAGTGGTAAACCACTGGTCCCATTGCAATAACTGGAGGGAGGGACTGAGTTACAGGCTAAGCTGCCCCGCAGCATGAGAGAATTTTAGTTTTTGGCAGGGAATTTTTTAAAATAAGCCTCACTCACTCCCCTCTGGATAGTTTTTATTTTATTATTATGATGACCAAATCCTCCTCCTTCTTTTTACTAGTTGTCATCTATCCTCAGACCATTTCCTGAACTCACAATGCTGGCTGTCAGATTGATTTTTTGGATTCTGTACATTGTTCAAAAGAGGACAAAAGGCCCCAAAAAATTGAGGGAAGCATGGAAAGATGCTCCTTGATCTTGTTCATCTTTTGTGTCCCTAAAATGGAATGACACCATGTGATGTGGTAATGCCAAGACTATAACATGCCAGTTTCAAAATTCTCTCAGGCCCCAGGGTTGACTCAGAGCACAGGTCCCTCCTTTGTAGGGTCCCTGTGGGACACCATCACCCTCCAAATTTAGAGATACTTAAGTTAGCCACTAGCCAGTGTTTTATTGCTGCATAGTGGCCACATTTTTGAGGCCCCAGCCATTGATTATTGCTACAGGGCCCCCACAGCTTCTTACCCTGGGGGTGTACAGTGAAAAGTGGCTGCTTATTTTGGATTCCGGAGCTACAAAACACAAATTTGAAACCATGAGACTTGATCAGGTGGTGCATAATATTAAAGAATGAATATGAAAAAATAAAAGCAAAAAATAAAATTTCAAAATTTGTGAAAAATAAAAAATCAAAAATATTTTTTTCAAAAGCTTTGATATGCATTTTGGGGGAGTGGGAGTGCTGAGAGAAAGAAAGATTGGGAAATGAGAAGAATGATTATAAATGAAAAGTTTGGAAAATTGGTTTTCAGATGGCTTCAAACAGCTCTTGAGTGGGGCATTCACCACCCCAAATTGTAGTAAAGCACTAGAATTGACTATCTTGGCTCCAATCTGGACAACCAACCTGGCTAAACTTTTTCCCACTCCCCCAAAATGAATATCAAAGCTTTTGAAAAAAAAACGCTCAGAGCAGCTGCCTTGCTTGTAGATTGCACACGATTGCTTTTGTTCTTCTTCTTCTTTGGTGATTTCGCCTGGATCCCCATGGCCTTAGACTTTGAAGCTCGATCTTGGACAGTCTCACCCAATGGAGTGGGTTCCTGGATAAGAACAATGAAGAAAGTCAATATAGTTGTAGTCTTTTTTGCCATCACTCAACAGTGCAACTTACACCTGTTGCCCCAGCCTGGACACCTGCCTCTTCATCCATTGGAACTTGCCCAGTCGCAGCTGCCGTTCTCTGTGTGACAGGGCAAATCAGAGAAAAGACCGCTAAGACCACTGACAACAAATGAATTCAATTGACTTACATCTTCTGGGTTTTCTTGCTCCAGGGCCACGATATCGACTTGTGAAGTAGCATTCATCAACAAAGGATGAATTGAAGAAATTTTGACCAAGGAAGGGAATTTTCTTTTTAGGAGAAATTTGTGGCAACAAAAATTGATTTTTGTTGGAACGGCTCAAGGGGTCGAAAAATGAAGGAGAGAACCGATGATGTTTTACTTAGAAGAGACCAGGCGTTAAGTAGTCTACGTACAAGAGGTTCAATATGTGGGTGAGAGCAAAATGAATATAAAAATGAATAGTAATTTTAAACATATGCATGAAAAGGACAGGAGCAAATACTGCTTGATAAAGACTAGACCCAGGTTCAAAGACTACAGGGATTTCAGCACTAGACAAGAGAAAAAAATGCCACTCAGACACTTTACAAAACAAAGTGAAAATTGATACTATTCCATCTAGACATCATTGAATTGAGAAGGTTAAATAGATGAGTTTTTTAGGGATGAGAAGAGAAGAGACAAAATTCTAACATGAATAGCAGTGGACTTGGAACTTTTAGATGAATCAGTCTTGTCTGACTCATTTGAGGAACTGGAATCGTCATCCTCAGAAGACGATTCAGATGAATCGTCTTCATCCTCTGCATTGGCCAAAAACAACGGATTGACGTCAGGCCGTTTACCAAAGATTTCGTCCATTTGAGCGTGGAGTGGACACATATTTTCAAGTTTATCCTCAATCGTTTTTATTCCAAGCTTCGGATCAGCCGGGGTCAGACCAAAGCCAGTTGACAAGGATTTTGTATGAGCTTTCTTATACTTGTCCTTGTATGACTTGAAACGATCTTTCATCTGTCGGGGGGTAAGATTGATTTTAGTTGGAGAAACATTTCGGAGGTGAATCACCATCAACTCGTAACCGTTTATCATCACCTTTGGTCGTCGTCCAATCGCAGGAGCCTTCCCATCGCCAAAACAGGCAACATAGTTTTTTCTTGTCTCTGAGCCAGTCAATGATGATTTCATAGTGCTCTATTTTTAGATGACCTCGGGATGAACCAAGTTCATCATTGTTCTTCTTTGATCGTGTATTTTTCGGAGTGGCCCTCTTCTTCTTTGGAGGGGTTCGAAGTGATCGCATGGTTGGGATTCTGGAAGCTTTTTTTGGAGGCATCTGTTGGGTGCATGTAGTGGAAAAAGAAAAAAATTTGTGAGGCCATTAAAATATACTTTGGTTCAGTTGAAGATAAATACCTTGAACTAATCAATTGATCAGACTTGGTTTGATGACGAGTGATGTGCAGGGGCAAGTTAAGAGGAGATGTTGAAGAAGCCGTGGGGTGAGTGGGGATTGAATCGTGGAGGATTGAGGGAATAGTGGAGGATGGGGGATGGTTGGAAATTGAAATTTGAAATTCAGGAATTTTGGGCTAAAAAAATGGGTTGATTTATGCTATATTTGATACGCCCTGACAAAAGAAGTAGGTTATTTGGTCACTGCAAAGGTGGATTTGGTAAGTGTGGATTTCTCAAAACCAGTCAATTAAAAAGTGGTGGATTTTGTTATATTTGATACCCCCTATTTTTTATTTTTCACAAATTTTGAACTTTATTTTTTACTTTTATTTTTTCATATTCATTTTTTGGGACCTATTATGCACCACCTGACCAATTCTCATGACTTCAAGTTTGTGTTTCAGAGCTCTGGAATCCAAAATAAGCAGCCACTTTCTATTTTTTATTTTTCACAAATTTTGAACTTTATTTTTTACTTTTATTTTTTCATATTCATTTTTTGGGACCTATTATGCACCACCTGACCAATTCTCATGACTTCAAGTTTGTGTTTCAGAGCTCTGGAATCCAAAATAAGCAGCCACTTTTCACTGTCTACCCACTGTACCAATTTTTTTGGAGAAATGTTCCAACTTTGTTTGGTCAAGTGAGCTGTTTTTTCCCAGTTTTTATGAGTTTTCAGTGCTTTTTTCCTATTTTCCACTTGTTTTTTTTTTTTTTTTGGTAAAGAGGGCCCTCTCCACTGATTTTCTAAAAATTCTGATGAAAAAAAGCAACAAATACATGCCTCCCAGTTGCAACCTGAAGAAAATTTGAAATATCCTGCAGTTCTACATACATAATCATCTGTTTTCAAGGAGTTCAAAAATATATACTTCTTAAGTGCATACTACATACCATGAGCATGTATTATTAGATATCATATAAATACATGTGGGTGGTTGTTCAAAACTTTGCATCCCAAAAAATAGAACTGTTTATTTGAGGGGCACAGAGAGTTGTGTTTTATATTTTTGATAGCTCATTTTAGGGTGATATTAAAGATGGACATCGGTACCCATTTGGAGGTACCTGGCACCCGTTTGCCTGGTACCGCCCGGACCCTCCTGGCACCTGCCAGGGGGTGCCAGGTGAGGTACCTGGTGTCCATTTCTGAGCAAAACAAAGGTGGTACCAGGGTACCGCTAGAGGTACCCTCTTTACTGTGCAGTCACTAAGTAGGGTGATGGCCGTTGCCTTCTACTCAAAAAATGGGATGATAAAGGAAGGGGTGTTGGCCAAGTGGAAAGATGGTATTCAGACTGCTAAGAAGGGTAAATCAGATGGGAAATGTACAAGAAAGTTGATAGTATTAGAAGATTAGCTCAAAACAATACTTGCATGCAGTGAGAAAAAAGTGAACTGCAATTTCAAGTCATAAGAGTGCCATTCACACTGCGGCCACAGGTACCACTGGTACCTGCCCAAAGTACCGCTGGTACCCGCCAGGGGGTGCCAGGTGAGGTACCTGGTGTCCATTTCTGAGCAAAACAAAGGAGGTACCAGGGTACCGCTAGAGGTACCCGGGTACCAATGGCCATCTTTAGGTGATATATGTTACTGGAGAAGAAGTCCAATGTTGAAATTTCATATTTCAGGTTCTGGGAAGTTGTGTGGGGCACTGTATCACTGTAATCCTAAAACATAACATAAAATTACATTAACAAGATAGTTAGTGTAACTGGTCCACACTTGTACCTACTGGTATCTTGACTCAAAGATAATTGACTTGCCAAAAAAGGATACGCCTTATCCAATTTAATTTACAAAAGAATATCCCTCCTTGGAAGGAAAGTACACACTGTACCTCACTGTTAATTATCCCTCCTTTGTAAGGGGGGTAGGTTGTACCTAGCTTAATTGTCAGCTATGTATATGCTACACTGGTTTAAATAATATAAAAACCAGGTGCTATCACTGTGCTGAAGGACTATCAAAGAAAAAGATTACTCTTTTTCACTCTTTATATGTGTTCCAAATTCCACAAATGTTAAGTCCACACTCCTTGAAGCTTATTTGTTTCTAATGAAACAAATAACAGGAGATTAAAAAATTAATGAATTGTTATAGTTTGGAAATTTAAAGCAATAATAATGGCTAAGAGGCAGCTGGCAAGCACTTGAGCTTATGTCAGAGGTGGTAGTCTTGCAGCAATTGCTTTATAAGGAATTTTAGTGTGGGATGGAAGGGCAATGTCAAAGTTACACACTAATAATTCCAGTTGTAAAAGGTTGATTGGGATTGGGATAACTAATCTAAAAGTAGGAGGAGAATATTCACTGTACTTACTAAGTATGTTGTGGTTGAATACTCTGAGGAACCAATCTTAGGCCAGGAATGGCCTCCTTTCATATTCTAGAGTCCCCCTGTGGGCATTCTTAGAATATTCTAGAATGTTTATTTGATGTACTACAATAGTATTTCTCCCATGATGTAATGGGACTCTCGTAGTAGATTAAATACAGTATTTTATATCTCCCCATGACATCATGATGCATTTTTATAGCCAATTACATCATGTGCCTACCTGTAATAGAATAATACTGATGGAAATTACCACACACTTGTAAAATTGTGGTAATTTCTACAAGTTAATTTATTGACTTCACTTGTACTAGTTATAAATATGTATTTAATATATTTTTTTACTTTATCTTATAATTTTTAGAGTATTTTATATTTTTATTCCTACTAACCTCCAAGGATCTTGAGTTATGGCAAAGTCCTAGAAGGAGTAGGATTTTGGGGGTGGTTCCAGTGAGCAAACCCATCTAGAATATTATGAAAGATCATTTCTGATATAATATTCTAGGTTTTCTTATTATTAAAAGGTATGATTACATTTAATTTATTATTAAGCAGTCTTTTGGATACTCTTGATGTCCTATAAAATCTCATCTCAAGTAGCCATATTGTACTTGCAAAAATAATCAGGAAAACATGGCCATAAGTATATCCTCTACTCCTTCCAATTTGTTGAATTTTTCTCAGTTCTGTCTCTCTCTGCCCTTCATCTCTTTCTAATCACCTTAAATCCGACTGAAGTTGTTTTTCCAAGTAGCTAGTTTTTGGTTGTTTTCTGAGTCCTCTTTTGAGTCAAATTTGAACCTTAAGAAAATAAGCTCAACTCAATCACCCTTGTCTCTACGGTATTAATTTCTTCTTTTTCTGGTTTATTGTCTGATATTAAAAATTGGTTAACAAGAATTAACACCCCTTGTTATTTGTGATTTAAAATACTTTGTCTTGACTAACTCATCTGGCCTGACTACAAGAGACTGAGAAGTTTTGTCTAGTTTGTTATTTTCAAGAACTTATTTTATCTTCACTCAGTTTTTATTCAAAAAAATATTCTTTATTCATTTTTCTTTCAACCACTTTTTGACCACTTGTACCTAGTCTATTTAATCCTGGCTAGTTGCAAGTGAATGAAAATCATCAGTTCTGTTCACTCCTTCACCTTGAACCTTTCCCAAAAAAGGGCCCCTGCCTTCTTTGTGCCACTTTCTCAAATTTCTCAACTTCAACCGGTCAAGAGCTCAGAAATTCAACACAATTGCTGATTTTACCTGCATCCCTCCTTTCTCCATCTCACTTCGTTTTCTCTACTCACTCCTTCCAATGCTGGGCCATCTACACTAGTGGTAATGAAATTCTGCTCAATGTTGGGGAGTGTAGAAAAATTCTTCCATTTCTGTGCTAACACTAGCTAACACTATGTGCACATGCCACAAAAGACCACCCGCTTACGCTATGCTGTGATAAAATTTTTTTTAGTGGTTTTTTGCCCTTGTTTGCTGCTAAGGTTTTAGTAGAATAGTTCAAGGCAGTGTAGCAGCACTTACACTACAGGAAATGCACTGCAAATAAACACACCACTACAATAACACTTTTTTTAAAAAAGCATGATGGCCCACTGCTGCACCTTTCCTATCTCTTTCAAATTCATAAATAATACCCACCACACCTACTCCTCCACCTGTTTCTCAATTCCCTCAACAAGTGGTTTGTGGCTTGGATGGGTGAATATAAGAGACGGTGCTGAAGGTTGGGAGTGAAGTGAATTGATGCAAGTTGGAAAGTTTGGAATATTGAATTTTGGGAGGACAGAGTAGAAATTTAGCAACCATCATTTACTCTTAGTCTTCAAGGGAGCTGATGTCATTGAGCATAATAGTTGAAGTGTTTATTCTTGTCCACCTTGAGACACAGTAACATTTCCAACTGCAATTCATCATGACATGGAGTAGGTGGATAGAGTAAATGTAAAAATTAACAGTTTATTGAATGTTAGAGTCAAGGTAATTACTTAAATGATGATGGGGAAGTTTCACTGGGATTATCTTAGCAGCCATACTCCAGAACAAGGCAACAACTCCACTTTAGGTGTGAAAATGTGATGGTAGCTAGAGTCAAGAGGGAAACTCCGGGAAAGGAACTATTAAGGGGGGGGGCAGTTTCTGTGATACATTTGTACCAGTTATTTAAAAAAAACTATCATGCACAGCAGAAAAATTTTCAAATGAGGTCAAGTCTACCAGTCAATGTAGAGGTAATCAGAAGAACTTCACACAAGCAAAATGTAGTCGGTCTGGGCACAGCAAAAACCAAAAGAAAAAAATCCAAGAGGTCGATTGGCCCAGCAATCATGGACCTGGGTGCGTTGCTCGTTTGGACGAAGGGAATCAATCTTGGTCAGGGGGATGGATGTGGCCGCGCTTCGGCGCATTTACGCAGTCTCCTCCATATGACACTGCCTTCGACTAAGAAATGAGATTGGTGAGTCGAGATAAAAAAAGGCTATTGGGTTAATAGAGCCAACCCCGCATGAATGATTACTTACCGCAAGCATGTTACAACATCGGCGCAGTTTCTTTTTAGGGCAATCTTTTGTGTCTTTTGGAACGTCGTTGACTGCTCATAATCGAGTTTTAAAATGATTAGGCAACGCAAATAGAAAGAATTAAAATGTATGTACGTGGAATCCTGAAAGGCTCCTACTCTGAATGAAAAGTACGCAGCTTACCCTCAAATTCAACTTCACATCCAGGGAAAGAAAAATCGACACCATTGACCTGAAAGTTGTCACAGCCCCATTTGAGTGGATATACGGGTGGTTTTATCACGTCGCTTGAGGCAAAGGTGACTAGCATGATGCCGATAATTATTAAATTCATCGTGAAATTTGCTTTCTTTGGGTATGATATGTGTACGTGGATGTGAAGGTTTTATTCTTCTCGAGCTATGGTGATGTGGAAGATGTGGGCCAATGGGCAAGAAACGCGTCGCTTATCTATGTATGCGTTTGAAGGAAGCTCCTTTTGCCAGACCAGAGGAGGAAGCTAACATCCTTCTTGTCATACAGATCTTTTGATGGAAGCCTCGAATTGTGATAACTTCGTCAAGTCCCTTGGCGTCATGGATGCATGCTGTTGGTTTCAGTGACGAAGCTCTGATCGAAAGCCACCTCATGTTTACACGATTATATAAGAGCGAATTCGTCCATCTTGGCTTCTACACATTACGCCTTTATGTTGCGATCGAGGGTGGGCTCACAGAAGCCGACCAGTCGTCAAGGAATTCTTTACATAACTTGTCCATCTTGAGTCTTTCGTATGGAAGGCTGTGATCCAGGAGACATGCGTGTTGAGTGAAAGGCTGACTATACAGGCGTAGGCTACCTCCGCCACAGAATCTTTCACGAAGTTAACAAACTACTACAGAGGTGATTGGTCAAGGACCCGGCCCGGCCCGGACAAAGTCTCACTTGGCCAATGTCCAAGTTGGAGCAAGTGTCCACATATGCCAAAAGCAATATACCGCAGCACAAGCCTAACAGGTACAAAGCCTCTCAGGTGAGAGCTGGGAGGGAAGCCCTGCTGGGTCTCTGTCTCACAGAGATACTTATCAATAAAGCCTGTATTTTGGTGTGGATATTGGATGACTTCCTGTCATTATTTTGAGTGTTTTTAGACCCCTCCAAGCCCTAATTTAATAACACAATCTAACCGCAACTAGCTCACATGAGAGCCATTGCTATAGGCTTTTTATAAAATCATTTTTTGGAGTCGGACCCAAGACTTTGATCTGAAGGGTGTAAATTGACTTCTGATGAGACGGTTATTGATTGCAACAGGAATTCATCCACTGAAAACTTAAGATTAAAATTAAAAGTGGCTTTCTACTTCCTCCTAGATAGCTTCTTATCAATCCAGCTAGTTTTTTCTCCTCTTTTCATCTTATATTGAAGAGCTGCTTCTTGTTCATAAATTGCTTCACTCCCTTTTTCCATAACCCTTCATAACTTCTGGTCACTAGGCTATTTGAGCAACAAGGCCCGAGGGCCCAAATGTTATATTATTACTTTGGTTAAGTATGCAATCTATTTGCTTAAAGTTGGTGTTCTTCCAAAAGTTTGAGCTGTATTCCTATTGTGTATGAATGCAGTTGTGGATGGCATTATCCATGGAGGACTTCCCGTCAAATACACCACCCTTCTATTTGTTGATTTATATATCAGATGCAAAAGACCATTTTTTTTCTGCAAATTTGGCTTTACATGCTGTAATTCTGGCTTTCAAGGGGGCTGTAAATCCAAAAGGAAGTCCCCCAATTCCCCACCTAAACTCAAAATTTACATGTGAGCCCTCTACTGAGGCTGGGAAAAGAAACTCATATACTTGATTCAATTAAAATTTGAACTCACATGCACACTGTGAAAAAAATATTAATAAACTGCCCCCATTTGACATGCAGAAACTCTCTTGAAAGTTGGTTTGCAACTCAGATGTTACTAAACCATTAAAGCATCCACCTGCTACAAGACACTATGTTAAACGGCCCACTACTTCTAGCATAGTGGCCCTCAAAACAGCACACCAACTCCATAGTGATAACATTCTGTTAGTGCCACTACACTGCAGCAATTTTAGCGGCAAAAAATTGCCAAAATGTGCTGTAGCTCAGTGTAGTGGTCCCTGTTTTGTGGCCTGCCCACATATTGTTAGTGCAGATCTGGCAGAATTCCTCTGTGCTACACTAATTTTCAGCAGAATTGTGCTGTGCTAAACTATTTTTAGTGGGATTTTGCTGCACTACATTATTGTTCGCAGAATTCCACTACACTATGCCAACTAACACCACAGGCAGCATAACTGGCCCACCATTACATCCACATTGGCTAACTTGTACCAAGTCCCGCTCTTCTGCGGGCCTGGTGACCTGGGCTGGCTGGCGCCACTCGCGAAGCAAGCCTCCGAAGGAGGGACTTGTGACTAATACACACAAGCTCACGTGTCGCTGTTGACTGTTTTTGGTGTAGCAATTATTGGATTGGCCAGCCTGAGTGTAGTTTAGGTTTGTTTCAAGGCAGAGTCACAATGGTCAAACTTGACCATGTTGCCAATCTTCTCATCAAGTTTTTAGGGATTTTCCCTGTAATTCAGATGAGTAAGATTTTTTTTGAAAAATATGAAATATTGACAAAATCAAAGAATACAAGTTGAGTTCCAAGCCTTGAGAAACTATTACATAAGCAAGAAACACAAATCTGAGTGTAACCTTTGACAACTACAAAGTTTCTCTAGAATGTATTTGTACATATTTCTCAATATTTTCTTGATTAAAATTTACTTTAGCATCTGGGGCATGCTGTCCCAGATTTTTCCCCTATAAGAGTTTAGAAAATGATATCATAGAATTTTCTGCGCAAAAAACACCCTAAAAACGCGAAAGCAACACACGGGTGTGTTTGTTTTGGTCACAAGCCTCTCCCACACTTCGTGCGTTTGACGGAGAGGCTGGGCAAGCTAGCCACATTGGTTGATTGTATTAGTGAGGATTAGCCACCTTGGTGAATTCCAGGATTAGCAAGGTATAAATTTAGGGGTCCTTAAATTTAACACCCATTAGCTCCAAATTTCAAAACTTCCCCTGAAACTGACTTAATCCAATCTTTAATCCCAACCCATGTGGTTGGAAGGATTAGATTATTAGTGGGATTCAGAGTTGAGTGCAAATACCTTGCAAAAGGGTTTGCAAGTCAATCTGCACAACAAAGCATGCATGTTCAGCTCCCATTACTCATTATAAGGTTAGATATGGCTAGTAGAAAGCCATTTTTGAAAATCTCCATGCATGAGAGTGACGTGCACAATGTTTTGCAAGTCACTTGCACTCAACTGTGAAACCCCCTATTATCCTGCCTAATCCGCTGTGGTAGTCAAAAATGTGAAAATTCAAAGTTTTTTCTTTCTTTCTTTTCTTATATATATTTTCTTCATATTATCACCCAATCTCTCTCAGAAATCACACCATGCGGCTCAAGAACTGGACTCTACGGATAAATTCACCCTTGGTCACCACGGAGGCGTCACTGGAACACACCTGGATCAACTCTTACCCAACAATGGACTACATATCACAAGGATTTCACCCATCATTACATATCACCAAACCCAATTACAACCCTCAAGCTACACAGACACCCTCAGTACATGTATTTTCCATGCATGACAGCTGCAGCTTACACCACCACACTCACTTGTAAACACATCAGAACCTGACCAATCAGAATCACTCATTCAGCTGTTTGGATCACCACTTCAACTCTTGTACATATCTGACCAATCACATTCACTCATTCAACTTCTGTATGTAGCTCAAAACCCTCATGTAATAGCCCAGGCCAGCCAAAATGACTCATTACTGGCTGTCCTGGAGCTAAATTCCCTCACTATTTTCTATATAAGGAGGCTCTCCTCCCAGTTGTTGTCTCCTCAGTGTATTATTCATCAGTCACAAGCTTAGTACCACTCAATCAAAGATACACCACCTTTACAGAACCTTACCAAACACCAATAACAACAAAACTCATTTCTCAGCATCACACAAACTCATTCCTGAACTTACCCTATCACTTGATTAAAACTTGCCAAGCTGAGCTTGGTGGGTCTTGTTATCTGATAGTATAGAAGGGCAGAGCTTGCACCTCCACCATCCCCTTCTCCATTCAGCAAAAAGGGTCTTACAACCACTTTTTGAGTCTTACAAGGGAGTCCCCAACGTGATAGGATAAAATTGTGTGATCTACATCAAGTAATCGAATTTCAACAAATAACGAGAAGGAATCGCCAAAGGATCACGAACTTTAGCGGGAACCGGATCAAATTTATCAACCATATTTGCGACTACTCAGCGGCATATTCAGTTATTCTGTTGATCAACTAGTCAAACTTCAACAAACAGTTCAACGACACCACCAACCAACCTCTGAAAAGAAAGTGTAGGAATCGACTGAAACAAGGACTCGAAGAAGACAGCCAGTTATTAACCGGAAGAAGGAAGATTATCGAAGGATCTGGATAACTAGGATACTGTTCGACAACAACTCAGGAAATATTTGAAAAAAGCAGCTGCTTATAGACCAAAAGAAGGGCAAAGGTACCCAAAGGATTTGGATAAGTAGATTCTGTAAAAGAAGAAATTCCCAGTATTTAACTGATCTATTATTTAAAAAGAAAGCCATAAGCTTGCCCTGGTAGAGAAACCAGCGACCAAAGTTTTATTTGTTTCTTTTTCAGAGCAGCCGTTTGTTTAGGTATCCGAGGAGCGTCAAGTAAGGAAAACTAGGAAAATCAATCAAAATCAACATGAGTCTACTGTTCAGTACATCAGATATGGAAGAATTCTTTGCTCCACAAACCGATTATAGGAAACACCCTTTTACGCCAACTTCAAATTTAAACCGGAATACGAAAACTACAATGTCATCATCAACGCTATCACCACCTTGGATGAAGAACAGGAAGAAGGGAAATCTGCCTATATTCAGAACTGGAATCAACAAGACCCTAGATATGGATGAACCAATTTATGAACAACCCAAACAACAGGAATCAATTTATCAACAACCAACTAACCAAAACAAACCAGTTTTAATTGAACAACCTGGACTTTTCTACAACGGACACCATTTCATGCAATTCTTGAGGCAATACGAGATGACCGCGGATTCACTTAATGCAACCAAATACGATCAAGCCCTACAGATTGGACGGTTTGTGCGAACCGAGGAACTGAAGTGTCAAATTGAGTCCATGGATGGATACGAGGAATGTGACTGGGATATTCTACGGGCCTCAATGATTGAATTATGGGGTGACAAGTATGAACTTCT